CGGGCGCAGATTGCTCCAGGAGAGTTCTCGGTGACTGGAGCAGTGGGAGGTGAGGGGTCGCAGGGGTTCGGGGCTGGGCCATGCGGGCGTGGGGTGGACTGACCCTGCCCTGTGTGCCCCGCTGCCCCGCAGGAAGCTGGACGCCTTCATCTATGACGCAGCCGTGCTCAACTACATGGCCCGCAAGGACGAGGGCTGCAAGCTGGTGACCATCGGCTCCGGCAAGGTCTTTGCCACCACCGGCTACGGCATCGCCCTGCACAAGGGCTCCCGCTGGAAGCGGCCCATCGACCTGGCGCTCCTGCAGTTCCTGGGGGACGGTGCGGCTGCGGAGGGGGGGGCTGGGGGAGCACGCCTGAGAGCAGGGGGGGCCCTGGGTCCCCAGGAAGGCGGGGATGAGGCCCAGGGCGCCAGGGTGGAGGGCAGAGGCTGCTGGAGGCCTAGCCTCCTATATCAGAGGCGGGTCCTCTGGGATCTCTGCAAAGGTGACCTCTGACTGCACCCCCCTCCCCCCCCAGATGAGATCGAGATGCTGGAGCGGCTGTGGCTCTCCGGGATCTGCCACAACGACAAGATCGAGGTGATGAGCAGCAAGCTGGACATCGACAACATGGCGGGCGTCTTCTACATGCTGCTGGTGGCCATGGGCCTGTCGCTGCTGGTCTTCGCCTGGGAGCACCTGGTGTACTGGCGCCTGCGGCACTGCCTGGGGCCCACCCAGCGCATGGACTTCCTGCTGGCCTTCTCCAGGGTACAGGGGCCTGGGGTGGGGGGGGAGAGGAGGGAGGCCAGGGAACCAACAGGTGCAAACAGGCAGGGATGCCCAGGGGTGAGAGGGACCCGCGGGGGTGCAGGAGAGGAGGGAGGGGAGGAGGGGGAGGAGAAGGGAGAGGAGGGAGAGGATGAAGAAGATGGACAGGAGGGAGAGGAGGCAGGAGTGGAGGGAGAGAAGGAAGGGGTGCAGGAGAAGAGGGAGGGGAGGAGGGGGAGGAAGGAGAGGAGGAGGGAGAGGAGGGAGAGAATGGAGGGGTGGAGGGAGAGAAGGGAGGGGTGCAGGAGAGGAGGGAGGGGAGGAGGGGGAGGAGAAGGGAGAGGATGAAGAAGATGGAGAGGAGGGAGAGGAGGGAGAGGAGGCAGGAGTGGAGGGAGAGAAGGAAGGGGTGCAGGAGAAGAGGGAGGGGAGGAGGGGGAGGAAGGAGAGGAGGAGGGAGAGGAGGGAGAGAATGGAGGGGTGGAGGGAGAGAAGGGAGGGGTGCAGGAGAGGAGGGAGGGGAGGAGGGGGAGGAGAAGGGAGAGGATGAAGAAGATGGAGAGGAGGGAGAGGAGGCAGGGGTGGAGGGAGAAAAGGAAGGGGTGCAGAAGAAGAGGGAGGGGAGGACAGAGGGGTCTCCGGCCCGCCGCTGACCCCGTGTCTCCCCCTCCACCCCCGCCCCCTGCAGGGCATGTACAGCTGCTGCAGCGCCGAGGCCGCCCCGCCGCCCACCAAGCCGCCGCCGCCGCCGCAGCCGCTGCCCAGCCCGGCGTACCCCGCGCCGCGCCCCGCGCCCGGCCCCGCGCCCTTCCTGCCCCGGGAGCGCGCGGCGGTGGACCGTTGGCGGCGCGCCAAGGCCGCGGGGCCGCCGGGGGCCGCGGGGCTGGCGGACGGCTTCCACCGCTACTACGGCCCCATCGAGCCGCAGGGCCTGGGCGCGGGCGAGGCGCGCGGGGCGGCGCGGGGCGCGGGGGGCCGCCCGCTGTCCCCGCCGGCCGCGCCGCCGCCGCAGAAGCCGCCGCCCTCCTACTTCGCCATCGTGCGCGACAAGGAGCCGGCCGAGCCCGCCGCCGGCGCCTACCCCGGCTTCCCGTCGCCGCCCGGGCCGCCCGCGCCCGCCGCCGCCGCGGGGCCGCCGCTGTGCCGCCTGGCCTACGAGGACGAGAGCCCGCCGGCGCCCGCGCGCTGGCCGCGCTCCGACCCCGAGAGCCAGCCGCTGCTGGGCCCGGGCGCGGGGGCCGCGGGGGCCGCGGGGGGCCCGGGGGGCGCCGGGGCCCAGGCCGCGCCCCCGCCGCGCCGCGCCGCGCCGCCGCCCTGCCCGTACCTGGACCTGGAGCCGTCGCCGTCGGACTCGGAGGACTCGGAGAGCCTGGGCGGCGCGTCGCTGGGCGGCCTGGAGCCCTGGTGGTACGCCGACTTCCCCTACCCGTACGCCGAGCGCCTGGGGCCGCCGCCCGGCCGCTACTGGTCGGTGGACAAGCTGGGCGGCTGGCGCGCCGGCAGCTGGGACTACCTGCCCCCGCGCGGCGGCCCGGCCGCCTGGCACTGCCGCCACTGCGCCAGCCTGGAGCTGCTGCCGCCGCCGCGCCACCACAGCTGCTCGCACGACGGCCTGGACGGCGGCTGGTGGGCGCCGCCGCCCCCGCCCTGGGCCGCCGGGCCCCCGCCGCCGCCCCGCCGCCGGGCCCGCTGCGGGTGCCCCCGCGCGCACACGCACCGCCCGCGCGCCTCGCACCGCGCGCCCGCGCCCCCGGCCCCGCACCACCACCGGCACCGGCGCGCCGCCGCGGGGGGCTGGGACCTGCCGCCGCCCGCGCCCACCTCGCGCTCCCTGGAGGACCTCAGCTCCTGCCCCCGCGCCCCCGCGCGCCGGCTCACCGGGCCCTCCCGCCACGCGCGCCGCTGCCTGCACGCCGCGCACTGGGGGCCGCCGCCCGCCGCCGCGCCCCACCGGAGACACCGGGGCGGGGACCTGGGCACCCGCCGGGGCTCGGCGCACTTCTCCAGCCTCGAGTCCGAGGTATGACGCGGCCCGCCCCGGGGGCCCGCCCGCCCCCTCGGTCAGCGCAGGCCACGGCCCGGGGGGGCGCGCGCAGCGGACGGGACCCGCGTGGGATGGGAAGGAAAAGGGGGCACCGGCCGGACCCCGCCTGGAGCAGCGTCCTGTGCCCCTTTCGTTTTTTCGGGGCACCGTGAACCGGAGGGGATGCGGTCCCCGGAATCTCACCCGCTGGATGGGGATTTGGTCCCCGGGATCTCACGGGGCGGAGGTCTCGGAGCCCGCTGGACATTTTTTAAAACCCGACAAGGGCTTTTTAACGTCACCACCAGATGGGGCGGGAGGTGGGGGGGGTGGCGCCGCGCCCGCGCCCCGCCCCCACGCCCGGGGCCGCGGCCCCCACATCACTGTGCAGCTCCCCGGGCCCGGCCACGCCGCCGCCGGGGAGGCCCGTTTTTAACCTTCCATCCACGGGGACTCAAAACTGTGAGACGCGCTCGCCAAACTGTGACCCTAGACCTGGGCCCCGCCATACACAAACCCCCTGACCCCAGACTGTGACAAACTCCGACCCCTACACATGGTCATCCTCCGACCCCAGACTGTGACCTCGGACCCTAAACTGTGACCCGAGCCCCAGACTGTGCCCCGACCAGACTGCGCCCCTCGACGTCAAACCGGGACACCCCTCCACCCCCCACCTCCTTTTCCACCCTGGGTCACATTTCCCAATTTTGACTTAGGACACACCCCCAACGGAAGCCCCGCCTTTACCCCCTCTCCCCCACAGCGTAGATCCCAACCTGCAGGGGCCAAAACCTCCCATCCCATCGCACCTCACTACCTACCCCAGGTGCCACCCAACACCCCCTCTCCAAACCTAACCCTTCTTTGGGACCCTTCAGTGATGACCCAGCAGACCCCCCAAGGCCTCCTCTCCCAGAACTCCAGCCCGGCCTGGAGCTGGGTCGTGGAGGAGAGGGTCTGGGAGTCCCCACTCACCACCCACGATCCTTCCCTCCCTCCTGTCCCACATCGCAGTGTTTGGAATAAACCATGTTTTTACGCCTCCTCCGTCCAAGTGTGAGCTCCGTGTCTGTGTCGTAGTCCCCTCCCACCTCCCCCAGCACCAGCACCCTCACACCTGTGAAAGGAAACAAACTGAGAGAAGTCCCACAGAAATAAGGGGCAGAAAGAGAATTAAAGCGGGCGGGAGCAGAGACCCTGGAGGGAGGTGGGAGACAAAGGCCCAGAAAGGGGAGGTGAAAAAAGACACCCCCACCCCCACCCCAGAAGAGGCAGGGGTGGACAGAGACCTAGAGATACGGGGGACAGAGAACACAGGCAAAATCCAGGGTCAAACCATTTTAGGATCAAGTCTAGGGTCCCATTTCCTAATGGCTATGGGCAACGAGGCTTGCAAGATTCTTAATATCCTGCTCATGCAAGCGAGGAAGAGTGTCTAATGCATTCCAGCCAGTCCAAGGTATCTTGAATACCGTTAATCTCACCGAGGAGAATCTATTTCATTTCATTATGCCAATTAGCCAGACCTCTGCCGCTGATGGGCCATAAAGAGAAGCACTTGTAACAGCTGCCTCCAGAGGGTGGACTTTCTGATTAAGTGCTCGCCGACCATAGCTGCCATGTGAAGTCCTGGTTAGGCACTTGACTGCCCCCGAGAGGGTAGAATCCACCGACTCACTCACGCCCAGTATCATCCTGTTTACATTAAGCCTTTTGAAATAAATTAAGGCCATCATCACAAGGAGGGGAGAAGAAACCGCTTTGATGGGTCTTCAGAGAACAGAAAAACCCGCGGTCCTGGTTGGCAAGAGCTCTTATTTGCATACATGAATAATCATCGGAGCGGAAAGCAAGCTCTGGGGGAGTCAAAGGTGGAGGAGGCTCAGAACGCTTGAGTCTGGAGTAGATGCGGAACACACGCCTCCCCGAGAACTACAACTCCCAGGAGGCCTTGCAACGGCTCCGCGGAAGAGCGCCTCCAAGGTATGCGGCGCCGGTGGTCTCCGCGTATGCACCTCAGGCCTCCTCCAGCGCTAACCCCGGACGCCGTTACCTTGCTCTCCTTCCTCTCCCCACTGCCCTCTCTAATTGGTGAACTGGAGAGTTTCCAAGGTAACGGCGCCGCCTGGTGGCTCGCCAAAGGAGGTGGAAAGGGGGCGGGAGGGGGAAATGCAACCCGGAAGTGACATCATAAACTCGCGCCGACAGCCAGAGGCTTCGAGGATGGCGGCGCGCAAGGGTCGGCGGCGCACGTGTGAAACCGAGGAGCCCATGGAGGCCGAGTCCCGCGAGGCTGGGTCCGAGGGCCCAGCCCAGGTCTACCTGCCCGGCCGGGGGCCGTCGCTGCGCGAAGGAGAGGAGCTGGTCATGGACGAGGAGGCCTACGTGCTGTACCACCGGGCGCAGACAGGTAGGGGGGCACCCAGACTCCTGGCCCCTGGGGAAGGAGGGAGCTGGAATCCTGCGTCCTGAGGGGCCGGGGTCCTGAGCCTTGAACTGAAGGGGCGCTCTGACAGGGAATCTGGGGGAAGTCTGAGAGGGCTGGCGTCACCCTGGAGGGCGCTGAGATCCGCTGTCCCATCGTGACTTTCCAACCTCCCCTTCCCTCCCCAGGCGCCCCCTGCCTCAGCTTTGACATCGTCCGGGATCACCTCGGGGACAATCGCACAGAGCTGCCTCTGACCCTCTACCTGTGTGCCGGGACCCAGGCGGAGAGCGCCCAAAGCAACAGGTGAGTGAGACCTGAGGCTTTCCTAGGAGTCCAGATTCCCCAGCCTCTTCCTGCCCCGAAGTCCAGGAGTCAGCCTCCAGCTTCCCTTCCCCAGGACCAGCTTCTGCCTCCCTCCGACCCCGAATCAGTTGGGGTTTCCGCCTTCCCTCCTCCCTAAGGATCCTGACGCCCAGCGCCTTCGTCACATCCCACTTTCCCCCAGATTAATGATGCTCCGGATGCACAATCTGCACGGGACCAAGCCCCCGCCATCAGAGGGCAGCGATGAGGAGGAGGAAGAGGAGGATGAAGAGGATGAAGAAGACCGGAAGCCTCAGCTGGAGCTGGCCATGGTGCCCCATTACGGAGGCATCAACCGAGTCCGGGTAAGTACAGTCTAAGCAGTCTGCTCTACAACTCTGGGGCGCATCCCTGCTCTCCCATCTATACCTGCACTTCCTCACGCCCTTCGGCTTTTGGGCAAGCGTCAGGTACATAATTTTATATGTTGGTTTACATATGTCTTTTTTTAAAAAACATATTGATTTTTACAGAGAGGAAGGCAGAGGAATAGTTAGAAACATCGATAAGAGAGAAACATCATATAGCTGCCTCCTGCACACACCCTACTGGGAATGTGCCTGCAACCTTAACCAGAATCGAACCTAGGACCCTTCAGTCCGCAAACTGATGCTCTATCCACTGAGCCAAACTGGTCAGGGCTAGTTTACATATGTCTTAGCTATTCTGAATCGTACTGGGTGCTGTGTGAGGAGTGTTTGCTTTTTTTTATGTTCTGTGAAATGGTGAGAGTTGCAAAACTTGCCTGGTGTAAGGATCAAATAGAATAACATACAACTCTTTCTGTAACTGAAATACACTTATTTCAGATGCTTGGAAACAGCACCCGGTTGTAATGTGAGTGTCTATGTTTCCTGATACTTTTCAGGAACTGCTCTGAGCGGTGAGGTTACTCTTATGGTTTAGGGTTATAGCATCTTCTGATCAAGTTGATGCGAGTTAAATGGGGTGACATACAAACAGCACTCAGAGCAGTGCTTGGCCTGTGGTTCTGGCTGTGCATTTCCATCAGAGTGTGAACATGTTTTGGGTACTGTTTTGAACTCTAGAGATTTAACAGGGAGTAAAAGGTCTTGGGACGTACATGCTGCTGGAGAAGGGGGCAAGAACAAAATTAGTAGATGTGTACTGTGCCAAGGTGCTATGTGTTGTAGAGGGAAAATAAAGTCAGGTAAGGGGCTAGGGTGTTCTGTGCGGGTGGCTATTTTACTTATTTATTTATTTAAAATATATTTTATTGACTTTTTACAGAGAGGAAGAGAGATAAGAGAGCTAGAAACATCAATGAGAGAGAAATATCGATCAGCTGCCTCCTGCATACCCCACACTGGGGATGTGCCCACAACCAAGGTACATGCCCTTGACCGGAATCGAACCTGGGACCTTTCAGTCCGCAGGCCGATGCTCTATCCACTGAGCCAAACCAGTTTCAGGGGGTTGCTATTTTAAATAGCGTGACCTGGGACATGCTCACTGATAAGGAGCCATTTATACAGAGACCCACAGGAAGTGAGGGACCGAGCCAAGGGTGTGTGGGGAAAAGTTTGCAGGCAAGGAAATCAGTGCACTGGCATGAGGTGAGCTTGGCATGTTGGAGTTTTTGAGAGAAGCTGGGGGGAACCAGTGTGTTTAGAGCCGAATGAGCAGGGATTCGGCAACAAGATCTCGGGGGTGGGCCCACACAGACAGGTCGGTGAGGGCCTTGGAGCCCGTTGTAAGGACTTGGCTTTTACTCGGGGAGACGTTGGAAGCCATGGGAGAGTCTGGAGCACAGGAAAGGCGGGATCTGACTTGTGTGTTCATTCCTCTACCGGCTGTGTTGAGAAGAGGCTGCAGGAAGACAAGGGCAGCGGACAGCCCTGTAGGGGCTGTAGCTCAGGCGAGGGATGGCATCAGTGAGAGACAACAATAGAGGTGGTGGGAATTTTCCCAGTTCTCACCTGAGGATAGTTTTCCATTGATTTTTAAAAATATATATTTTATTGATTTTTTTATAGAGAGAGGGAAAAGGATAAAGAGTTAGAAACATCGATGAGAGAAAAACATCAATCAGCTGCCTCCTGTACACCCCCCCACTGGGGGTGTGCCCGCAATCAAGGTACGTGCCCTTGACTAGAATCAAACCCAGGACCCTTTGGACCACCGGCCGATGCTCTATCCATTGAGCCACACCAGCCAGGGCGAAGTGGTGCATTTTTAGTGGGATCAGCATGGGTGTCGGGTTAGGAAGAGACGAGTCTAAAAACAGGTCCTGCCGTTTGGGGAGGAGTAGGTTGCACTTTGGAGCTTGGCTTTGATATCAGGTGAGGTTTGCGTGGTCAGTGTGACCTGAGTCTGGAGTTGAAGGAGGTCGAGGCGAGGCGCTGCCGGGAAGCCTGAGGCCGGACAGGATCTTGTGAGCAGATGGCCCGAGGCCTGAGGCCTGGGACTCTCCCACACTGAGAGGGCTGCAGAGACCCGAGTCTGATGAGGGCCGCTGGGAATTACAGCCTTGATTCCCGGGAGACTTGAAGGAGTTTTCCCAACACCACCTCTGCTGCAGGGTGGGGAGCTGTCCCAGGTACCAAGCTGGGCTTGCGGACTGCGGTCCTCTCCTGCAAGGATTCTGGGGGTGGTTGTCCCAGCCCTGGGGGTGGGGGTGTCTGGGGAACTGCAGTGCTAGTCTCAGGGGTGCTAGCAGCTGTGGCCACCAACCTGAGCCGCCTGCCCCCCCCCGTCTCCTCCCCGTCCTCCCCCGCAGGTGTCCTGGCTGGGCGAGGAGCCGGTGGCGGGGGTGTGGTCAGAGAAGGGCCAGGTGGAGGTGTTCGCGCTGCGGCGGCTCCTGCAGGTGGTGGACGACCCCCAGGCCCTGGCCGCCTTCCTCCGGGACGAGCAGGCTCGCACGAAGCCTATCTTCACCTTCGCCGGCCACATGGGCGAGGGCTTCGCGCTGGACTGGTCCCCCCGAGTGCCCGGTGAGCCCCTGGGGTGTGCGCTTGGTCCTGGGGCGCCAGAGGGAGCTGGGTCTGCGGCAGGGGAGGGGGCTGTCTCCAGGGAGGGGGCTGCGCCGGGCCAGCTGGGACCAGGTGGTTTCCCGACGCCCCAGGGCGCCTGCTGAGCGGTGACTGTCACAAGAACATCCACCTCTGGACCCCCACGGACGGCGGCTCCTGGCACGTGGACCAGCGGCCCTTCGTGGGCCACACGCGCTCCGTGGAGGACCTGCAGTGGTCCCCGACCGAGGACACGGTGAGGCGGGCCGGGGCCTGGATTCCTGGGTCTTTTATTATTATTAACTATTATTAATTATAATTAATTTTATTATTATTATTATGTATTTTTATTGGTCTCAGAGAGGAAGGGAGAGGGAGAGAGAGGTAGAATCATTGATCGGCTGCCTCCTACACACCCCCTCCTGGGACCAAGCCGGCAACCCAGGCCTGTGCCCTGCCTGGAAATGGAACCAGTGACCTCCTGGTTCCTGGGTCAGCAGCCCACCCACTGTGCCACACCGGCCAGGCTGGATTCCTGGATCTTAAAGGAGGAGGGGCTGGGGCAGGTCCCCGTGAGGGGCCCACTGCTGGCACCTGGTCTCGGCGGGGTGCAGGGAACCCCGGGCGCTCAGACTCCTCTTCCAGGTCTTCGGCTCCTGCTCCGCCGACGCCTCCATCCGCATCTGGGACATCCGGGCCGCCCCCAGCAAGGCCTGCATGCTCACCACGGCCGCCGCCCACGACGGGGACGCCAACGTCATCCACTGGAGCCGCCGGGAGCCCTTCCTGCTCAGCGGCGGGGACGACGGGGCCCTCAAGGTGTGGGACCTGCGGCAGTTCAAGGTGTGTTCCCGGCGAGGCACCTGCCGGAGCTCCCGTTCCCAGCAGCCACTGGGGTCTGTGGGCTCGCCCTCCGAAGGGGTCTTAGACGCCAGGGCCCAGCCCCTTCGGGCGACACATGGGAAGCGGGCTCAGCAGGAGGATGGCTTGTGGCTGGCGTGGAAGCCGTTCTACCAGCGGGAATGCTGACAGGAGAAGAGGCAGGGCCTCCGAGCCCAGCTCCCTCCGTGCAGGCGCGGTGCACGCAGAGAGGGGCCGGGAGCGGGGACTCGCTGTGGCTCAGCTACGGCTGCTTGTTTGTCGCGCTGAGGCCTCCGGGCAGGAATGTTGCTGTGTCCACCATCTGCCTGAGCGAAGCCCTCACTTCCCAGGGCTCGGCGCCTTCCCGGGACCACCGTGTCCTAGTCTTTGTCCCTGCCAGGGGTCATGGTTCTCTAGAAGCACCCCTGGGAAGGTTCTAGAAAAGGCTTCCAGCCCCCCAGGCAGGTGCATGGCCAGGTCACACAGCCGAGTTGATGGGAACTCTGGAGACATGTCTCCAATGAGCCCCTGTGTGTAGGAAAAGGGGCTTCTCGATTCTTTGCATCTGCTGCTCCTGCAGCCCGGAGCCCTGCTCCCGCCCCTTTAAGGCCATAGGGCCCCTGGGGCGGACACCCCCTTGCAGGGACCGGCTTCTGTGCAGGTGAAACCAGGGTTCCCAGCGGCCCCTGGGACATGAGGCCATTGTTACCAGCTGTACCTCCCCCTCTGTCCCTTTCGGAGAATCGGGGGTTATGGGGCCTCAAAGCGGAGCCCTGGTTGAACCCCGAGGCTGGAGAGGGTTGGGGCTCTGCCCGGGGCACCCCAGGACTCGGGCGGAGGTGCTCGGAGCTCCTGACTCCTGTTTTCCCACAGTCCGGCTCCCCGGTGGCCACGTTCAAGCAGCATGTGGCCCCCGTGACCTCCGTCGAGTGGCACCCCCAGGACAGCGGGGTCTTCGCAGCCGCGGGCGCAGACAACCAGATCACACAGTGGGACCTGGCGGTGGAGCGGGACCCCGAGGCGGGCGACGCGGAGGCCGAGCCCGGGCTGGCGGACCTGCCCCAGCAGCTGCTGTTCGTGCACCAGGGCGAGACGGACCTGAAGGAGCTGCACTGGCACCCGCAGTGCCCGGGGCTGCTGGTGAGCACCGCGCTGTCCGGCTTCACCGTCTTCCGCACCATCAGCGTCTGAGCGCGCCCTTCCTGCACATCTGCGCAGCAGTCCTCCTAAGAGGGACTCTGCTCGGCCCACGGGCCGCCATGACGGTTCTGCTTGGCTCACTCTTCTCTACGGGACTTGGTTTGGCCCGGTGAGCCCTCCCGCCAAAGCCCTTGGTGTGATCCTGGCGCTCAAAGCAGCGTCACCCGCCTTTCGGGCCTCGCGGACCACCTGTGCTCTCACCCCCTGGGTGTGACTCCAGCGCTCCCCTCCCCCCCACAGACCTGATTCAGCCCTGACTCACCCCGCCCTCAGGGACTGTGGGCCCAATAACGGGACATTTTGTCAGCTGAGGCACTTGGCTTGACCCTTTGCCCTCAGGAACTCACGTGCTTTGCAATGACTGGGCCGAGTTTGAGGGGTGGGTCGTGTCGTCGTCCCCCCCCCCTCCTCCCCCCGAGAATTAGGCTCTGCCTCCTGCCTTCCTGCCAGCTGGGTTTGGCCAGGACTCCCCAGTGGGGGCCGCGTGGGCTGCTGGAGGCGGGCGTGTGGAGGGAGGAAAGTCGGGGGGCGGGGTCCTAAGGCCAATAAAGGACGGGAACGGGCCTGATGTGTGCGACTCGTCCTCCTGGCCGCTTCGCTGAGAAAACGGAGGAGGAGCAGGGATCCGGCACCTGCTCCAGCCTTCAGCCCACTGGGTGCAATCCCTCCTGCCTTCCTCCCACATCTCACTCCATCCGGGCTCACTCTGCGTCTCCGGGGGCTATCTCACCTGTGACCCCGGCTTTTTAAGGCTTTGTCGCAGGGAGAACCAGGCGCCCCCCATTTCTCCTTCAGTCACTGTCTCCTTTATCATCATCTCGCCCCTTTGGTTCCCTCCTCCACGCCCCCATCTTTCTCTGCTGCGTCTGTGTCCCCGTCTTCCCGTGGCTCCTGGCCCCCTGGCTGTCCCCGCCCCCTCCTGTGTCTCTGCCACCTCCAGCTTCCCTGGGCCGCAGCCCAGCCGCCTGCCTGGCTGTCCTCCCTGGCTCCCCCTCTGCGGCTCTGAGCTGGCCCCACCCCCTGCCCCCCCTCGGCCAGGCCTCTGATCCGCCTGCGGACACAGAGGTTGGGCCCCTGGGGCTGAGGACACCGCAGCCATCAGCGCCCACAGAGGAGCCCCCGCGGAGAGCATGGGGGTGGGCTGCCCCACCAGGTATGTGCTCCGTGCAGGAGCCTGGGCAGGGGCCCGGGGCTGCGGGCCATCCCACCTCCACCCCCTTGCTTGGGCATCTTCTCCAGCATCCCCACCCCATCCTGCTGCCTCCCTCGGAGAGGTCCCGTCTTACCCTCAGTGACAGTCCAGCCCAGAACAATCGCTCCCTTCAAATTCGGTGCCTCCGACTGACCCCATGGACATTTTGTGCTTTTTTTTTCACTGCCCCCCCCCCCCCCCCCCCCGCGCGCATCCTCCATCTCAGTGGAACCTCTTTCTGTCCCATCTCTGTGTCTTCCATTGGTCTCTGCCTCCCGTCTCCCCATCTTCCCCTTCCCTAAGACACCACCTCCATGGATTTCCCAATTGCTCCTCTTCTGCCCGTGTTGCTGCTCCTCTCTCCCTGGGTCTCTGTCCCCCTCCATCTCCCCATTGTCTACCTCCCTCCCTCTGGGTCCCTGACCCCCTCCCTCTGGGTCTCTGTCCCCCTCCCTCTGGGTCTCTCTCTCCCTCTGTCCCTGTGCCCTTCCCTCTGGGTCTCTCCACCCCCACATCTCTCTCCTCTCTCGGGCTCCCTCTCTCCCTGCTCATGTCCCTCCCTCTCTCCCTGCTCATGTCCGATTCTGTACCCTGTCTTTCTTTGCCCAGGCTCTTCCCCACACCCTCCCGTCAGCCTCTGCCCCCCAGCCTGCTTCCCGACCCCTCCGCGGTGAGGGCAGGGGAAGTACCCGGCTCCGGAGGGCTGTGGGCGTGTTCCTTCGGGGAGGGAGGGAGGGATTGGGCCGGGGGGCGGGGCTTCCTGGCCTCAGATTAGGCGGTGACTTAGACCCGAAGTGCAGGCACCTTAAGCCCCCTCTCCTTTATAGAAACGTTAAGCTGCTCTCCTTGCCAGGTCGGGGAGGGGGGGGGAACGACACACGACGACTCAGGCTCTGGAGCCTTGCCCTCCGGCCTGCTCCTGTGGGGCAGAGGGCCCCCCTGAGTCAGAGCCATCCACCCATGGAAGCTGGGCCATGTGGGGTGCAGACAGGCCTCCCGAGGGGAAGCCCCTGCCCCATCTGCTCTGAGAAACAGACACGGTCCTGTCGGGCTGAGTGTGGGCCTCGGTTTACTTGGGAGGCAGAGTCCCGGGTTGGAAAGGGCAGAATCCACACTGGCCCCCGACCTTTGCGCTGCAGGGGTCTGGCTGGGCCTCGGCCTGTTCCCCACGCTGTGGCCGGAGCAGTGACCTGGCCTCCCAGCGTCCTGAATGGAGGTGAGCGGCAGGTCTGGTGAGCCCAGTGGTGGGCGGGGACATCCAAGGGGCTCATCCTGCGGCCAGGAATGGCAGGTGCTCAGGGCCGCCTGGATAGGGGGTCCGTGCCCCAGGCTCAGGCTGCGGCACCCAAGGCCCCGGGTGGGAGTCTAGGGTTCGCCATTTTCCAGCTGAGGGACCAAGGGGTGGACCAGTGGTGTCGCCTGTGACAAGGGAAGTCCCCAGGGTTGTAGTTAGAGACAGGTGAGGGTGTAAGGAGGCCCCGGCTGGGATGGGTGCTGCGTCTGGGGAAGCCAGTTCGCCTCCCCTCCCCCATCATCGGTGGCACACGGTACAGAGTGGGGACTTCAGGCAGGAGAGGATTACACATGTCCAGGTCAGGGCCTAGATCCGAACCTTAAACCTGCCTTCCCGGACTGGCCTCGGTTTCCCCTTTTCGGCAAACCATCTCTTCACAGCCAGAGTAATTATGGGCGAAAACAGTTGGGATACACCTTGGGTGCTGGACACAGCCAGGCCCAGTGCACCCACCTGAGACTCCGCTCTGAGGAATGGGCGAAATGAAGCCCAGGTGCAGGGCTGTCCGGGTGGGCATGGACGGCAGGTGCAGAGCTGGAGGCCTGGGGGAAGAAAGGAGGACCCTTTGGTATTGAACTTGACATTGACTGACAGCCCTCTTTAAGCTGAGGGCCCCCAGTCCCGCCCGGAAGTCCATCGGGATCCTGGGGGCATATCATATGCATGTGCTTGGTACAGATTGATGAAACCAATAGGCCAACTATTTCTTTTTTTCTTTTTTTAAAAATATATTTTATTGATTTTTTACAGAGAAGGAAAGAGAGTAAGAAACATCAATCAGCTGCCTCCTGCACACTCCCCACTGGGGATGTGCCCACAACTAAGCTACATGCCCTTGACCAGAATCGAACCTGGGACCCTTCAGTCTGCAGGCCTACGCCCTAGCCACTGAGCCAAACTGGTTTCGGCATTGGCCAACTATTTCATCCCTGGTCCATGTAGGTCCCTGCCCCCAGCATGCCAGATGTTACCTGCAGCTGCTGGAGGGGGGTGAGGTCTGCAGGTCCGTGCCCAGCCCCTTCCCCCCTCCTCTCCACACTGTCCAGCTGATGAGATTCTCTCCATTTCACAGATGAGGAAACTGAGGCTCAGGAAGGGATGTGACTCACCACCAGTCCTCCAGCTAGTGAATGGCAGAGCCAGATTCACTCAAAAGCCCAAGGTCCTTCTTCCTTCCAAGGTGGTGGGTTTTTGTCCCCACCCCACTGATGAGAAAATGGAGGCTCCAGAAAAAGGAAGTCAGTTGTCTCGGGGCAGGTAGTGGGTCAGCAACTGAGCCAGGATCGGGCCTTGGATCTATATATGATTGGAAGCCCTTCCTGACCTTGACAGAGAAGTCAGTTTCACCATTTTACAGCTGAGGAAACTGAGGCTCAGAAAGAGTTGCCCAAGGTCTGGGTTGGTTGGTTGGTTTTGTGTGCATGTGTCTGTGTGTTTGTAACAGCTTCACTGAAATATAATTCACATACCATACAACTCACACATTAAAAGTGTACAATTAAGGGTTTTTAGCACATTCACAGAGTTGTATAATCATTACCACAATAGATTTTAGAACATTTTTTAAAAGATATTTTTATTGATTTCAAAGAGGGAAAGAGAGCTAGAAACATCAATGATGAGGGAGAATCATTCATTAGCTGCCTCCTATACACCCCCTACTGGGGATCCAGCTTGCAACCCAGGCATGTCCCCTTGACCAGAATCAAACCCTGGACCCTTCAGTCCGAAGGCCAACGTTCTATCCACTGAGTCAAACCAGCTGGGTCTAATTTTAGAACATTTTTATTTCCCCAATATGAAATGCCATGTCCTCTGGCTATTACTGCCCAATCCTTCCACCTCCACAATCCTAGCCATGACTAGACTACTTTCTCAATTTGCCCATTCTGGACATTTCATGTAAATGCAAGTATAAAATATGTGGTCTGACCCTAACCAGTTTGGCTCAGTGGATAGAGCATAAGTCCTTGGACTGAAGGGTCCCTGGATCAGTTTTGGTCAAGGGCATGTACTTCGGTTGTAGGCTCCATGCGCAGTAGGAGGTGTACAGGAGGCAGAAATAAATTGAACTTTGTTGAAGTTCAAATAAATAAATAAATAAATTGAACTTTGATGAAGTTCAATTTATTTATGTTTACCCTTTGGTTGTTTATGCTTTCTGAACTTTTGTTGTTGTCATTGATTAATGACTCTCATCATTGATGTTTCCCTCTCAAATCAATAATATATTTTAAAAAAACTTATAAAAATATATTGTCTTTTGTGATTGGCCTTTTTCACTTAACAATGTTTTCAAGGTTCAACAATGTTGTAGCATGTGTCTGAACTTTTATTTCTTTTCACTACTGGGTAGTACTCCATTGTGTGGAACTACCACATTTTATTATCCACTTACCATTTGATGCCATTTGGGTAGTTTCCATCTTTTGTCTCTAGTGAATAGTGCAAATATGAACATGTGTGTACAAGTGTTGTATGGACACTTTTTAAAATTTCTCGGAGTGGAGTTACTGGATCATATGGCAACTCTATGTTTAAAAATGTTTTTTATTGAGTTTTTTTTACAGAGAGGAAGGGAAAGGGATAGAAAGCTAGAAACATCAATGAGAGAGAAACATAGATCAGCTGCCTCTTGCACACCCCCCATTGGGGATGTGCCCGCAACCAAGATACATGCCCTTGACCAGAATCGAACCTGGGACTTTTCATTCCACAGGCCGACACTCATTCCACAGGCCGACACTCTATCCAGTTTCAGCTATGTTTAATCATTTAAGGAACTGCCGGGTCATCAATGGTGCCAATTTTCTCACATCCTTTTCCACACGTATTTTCAGGGTTTTGCTTTTGTATTGTTATAGCCATTCTAAGTAGGTGTGAAGTGGTATCTCTTTGTGATTTTGATTAGCATCTCTGATGGCTGATGCCAATATTTTTATGTTTGTTGGCTATTTGTATAGTAACTTTTTTAGAGAAATGTCCATTCATATCCTTTGCCTATTTTAAAATTGGGTTGTCTTGTTATTGTTGAGTTGTAAGGACTCTATATATTTTTGGATACGCATTTCTTAGATATATGATTTGCAACTCTTTTCTCCCATTAGTGAGTTCTCTTTCACCTTGTTAATGTCCTTTGAAGCACAAAAGTATTTACTTTGATGAAGTTCAATTTATTTATGTTTCCCCTTTTGTTGTTTATGCTTTCTGAACTTTTGTTGTTGTTGTTGTTTGCTGTTTTGTTTTAATCCTCACCCGAGGATATATTTTTATTGATTTGAGAGAGAAAGAGAGGAAGAAAGGGGAAGTGAGAGGGAGAGAAGCATTGATCAGTTGCCTCCCACATGCACCTCCACCCAGAATTGAACCAGCAACCTAGGTTTGTACCCCGACTGGGAATCAAACCGGAGACCTTTGGGTGTATGGGAGGATGCTCCAACCAACTGAGTCACCCGGCCGGGGCCTGGGCTTCCTTTTGAACCATAGGGACCTCAGCGCTCCAGCTGAGAGCCAGTGACCCCTTCGTGGTTCTGAGCTTGGACTCTGGAGCTAGACTGCTAGCACTCAAGCCCGTTTAATCAGCTGTGACCTTGGGCATGACCAACATTCCGTGCCTCAGTTTCCTCATCTGTAAATTGGGGAAATAATGCCTGCAGTGTTGTGAGGCTCAAATCAGAAAATTCACACAAAGTCTGCAGCAGCGTGTGGCACTGCAGACGCCGGCTGACACATGGTTGTGGCTCACCGTGGTGGTGGTGTGGTAGCCATAGTTACAAAAGTACCGCCTGTCACTACAAGTGTTACTGTCACGGTTGTTCAGGCTGTACTGTTGTGGCTTTCGAGGTGAGCATTCTTTTTAAAAATATATTTTATTGATTTTTTTTTTTTTTTTACAGAGAGGAAGAGAGAGGGATAGAGTTAGAAACATCAATGAGAGACAAACATTGATCAGCTGCCTCCTGCACACTCCCCACTGGGGATGTGCCTGCAACCAAGGTACCGGAATCATACCAGGGACCTTTCAGTCCGCAGACCGACGCTCTATCTTTCCACTGAGCCAAACCGGTTTTGGCAAGGTGAGCATTCTTCCACCCATTTTCCAGATGAGGCCACCAGGGCCCAGGGAGCATGCCCACCCATTCCCGGCGCCTCTGACGGTTCTGCCCATCTCTTGTCCCTGCAGGTTCGGGGCGCCCGCCCCCCACTAGCCCCAGCGGAGGGGCTGTCCCCGCCCATGGGCCTGGCCGAGGCCCTGCGCCGCCTGAGCGGCGCCCTGGCTTCGGGGGACGGCGGGGCGGGCGATGAGGAGGCCGGGCCGGGGCTGTGCCGCAACGGGTGGGCCCCGGCCCAGGCCCGGGCCACGGGAAGGCGCCGCGGGCGCTTCGTCAAGAAGGACGGCCACTGCAACGTGCGCTTCGTGCACCTGGGCGGCCAGGGCGCGCGCTACCTGAGCGACCTGTTCACCACGTGCGTGGACGTGCGCTGGCGCTGGATGTGCCTGCTCTTCTCCTGCTCCTTCCTGGCGTCCTGGCTGCTCTTCGGCCTGGCCTTCTGGCTCATCGCCTCGCTGCACGGCGACCTGGCCGCGCCGCCGCCGCCCGCGCCCTGCTTCTCGCACGTGGCCAGCTTCCTGGCCGCCTTCCTCCTGGCGCTGGAGACGCAGACGTCCATCGGCTACGGCGTGCGCAGCGTCACGGAGGAGTGCCCGGCCGCCGTGGCCGCCGTGGTGCTGCAGTGCATCGCCGGCTGCGTGCTCGACGCCTTCGTCGTGGGCGCCGTCATGGCCAAGATGGCCAAGCCCAAGAAGCGCAACGAGACGCTCATCTTCAGCGAGAACGCCGTGGTGGCGCTGCGCGACCGCCGCCTCTGCCTCATGTGGCGCGTGGGCAACCTGCGCCGCAGCCACCTGGTGGAGGCCCACGTGCGGGCCCAGCTGCTGCAGGTGCGGGGCCCAGGCCCCGCCCGGAGAGGCGGGGAAGGGCCTTTCCCAGGAGTAGGGGGGGGGGGTGCCCCTGGGGATTGTGGGAGATGTAGGCCTGAGAGCGAGGCGTGCGTTGGACGTGGAGGGTGCGCGAACTACAACTCCCAGCAGGCTCTGGGACAGGGACCCTCTTGCTTTACTTGTGGCTGGAGTTTGAGTTCGGGAGCAGTTGTAGGAGATGTAAACCCTAGACTTGAGACAGATTTAAAATTATATATATATAATTGATTTTTTACAGAGAGGAAGAGAGAGGGATAGAGTTAGAAACATTGATGAGAATCAGCTGCCTCTTGGCACACCACCCATGGGGATGTGCCCACAACCAAGGTACATGCCCTTGACCGGAATCGAACCTGGGACCCTTCAGTCCGCAAGCTGACGCTCTATCCACCGAGCCAAAACGGTTTTGGCTTTAGACAGATTTTTTTAAAAATATATTTTATTGATATTTTTCAGAGAGGAAGGGAGAGGGATAGAGAGTTAGAAACATCGATGAGAGAGAAACATCGATCAGCTGCCTCCTGCTCACCTCCTACTGGGGATATGCCCACAACCAAGGTACATGCTCTTGACCAGAATCGAACCTGGGACCCCTGAGTCGGCAGGCTGACATTGAGACAGATTTTGAGACACAAAGAGCTTTCTGGGGTGTGAGGGCCCCCTTATGGAATTGTAGGGAAATCTAAGCCTTGAGGGGCGTAGAGACTCTGAACTCAGACACCTCTGGGGGCTGGGAAAGGGCTTCGGAGGGGTGGTGTGAGGACGTGTAGCTTTGCGGGTGGTGTAAATCGCAGTGGCTTATGACTTGAGGCCTGGCCCCTGTGGGATTGTGGGAGATGCAGGTCCCAGGTACAGCTCTCACCTGAGCATCCGTGGAACACAACTGTTCATGGCCTCTGGGCATGGGGTCCTGCGGCTTTGTGGGAAACTTTGTTCCCCATCTCAGCAGCCCAGCCTCTCCCACCAGCCTCCTGCTCGGAGGGGTACAGAGCCGGGGTTGGGACACTCTTGAATTTTATCTCCTCAGCAACAAACAAAACAACTTTCATTGGCTCCTGGGGTAGCGGCTCCCTCCAACTCTCTGCAGAAAGGCGCTTTTTGCTTTAGTGTTTCTAGAATTGGGGCCAAACTGCCCACATTCTGAGGCTAGCTGCCCTTGTCCAAGTGGACACGTGACCTTGGACTGAGCTTGTACTTGGGCGAGAGGGAGAACAAGGTGGTGGTGGGAACTCCAGCTCCTAGCAGCAACTGGGGTTTCCGGGAGACAGACAGGTGGGAGAGAATGGTCCTCACTACCCACCTTTCTCTCCTACTGGACTGAGACACCAGGACTCATGACCTGGGAGGGATATTGATATTGTCTATCCCAGAAGCCTCTGGGGTACTGGCCTGGCCTGGGAGGTGGGTATGGAACCAGTGGGCAGGTGGGGTGGAACTGCCAGTGCCTGGCCTGTGGACTGCATACCCTCCTCTCCATCACACACATGCACAGGGGCTGCAGGGCCTGGGGTGCAGAGCGCCCATAAGCTGGGATGAAGCAGCGGGGAACACAGGATATTGGACCTAGATTGTCATCCTGGTTTATCTTTCTCTGTTCTCTGAAAGCCGTTTTTCTTTTCCTCCAATTGCTGCTTGGATGTCATTCTTTTCTTCTGTTTCTTTACCTTTATCTCTGCTTTGCTGATTTCTGTGGCTCTGTCCATGTCCCTCGGTCCCTCTCTTCCTCTCTCCCTTGCCTCCTTCTCGGGTTTCTATCCCCAAACCCCCTGAGTCTCTGTCCCTCTCTCTCTCTCTTTCTCTCTGGGTCTCTGTCCCCTCTTTCTCTGAGCCTCCCCTTCCTCCCCCTGGGCCTCACCCCCCCTCTCTCTGATTCTCCTCGCCCCACCCTCACCTCTATGAGTCTCTTCTCTTTTCCTGCATGCCCATTGCTTCCTGTCATCATGTCCGTCTCCCTGCACCTCCCTGCACCTGCCTCGGGCCCCTGGTCGCTCGCTGCAGCCTCGGGTGACCCCCGAAGGGGAGTACATCCCGCTGGACCACCAGGACGTGGACGTGGGCTTCGACGGCGGCACGGACCGCCTCTTCCTGGTGTCCCCCATCACCATCGTGCACGAGATCGACGCCTCCAGCCCCCTCTACGAGCTGGGGCGCGCCGAGCTCGCCCGGGCCGACTTCGAGCTGGTGGTCATCCTGGAGGGCATGGTGGAGGCCACGGCCATGACCACGCAGTGCCGCTCCTCCTACCTCCCCGGCGAGCTGCTCTGGGGCCACCGTTTCGAGCCGGTCCTCTTCCAGCGCGGCTCCCAGTACGAGGTGGACTACCGCCACTTCCACCGCACGTACGAGGTCCCGGGGACCCCCGTCTGCAGCGCCAAGGAGCTGGACCAGCGGGCAGAGCGGGACTCCCGCGGCCCCAAGGCCGGCTTCCCCGACTGCCTGACGGCTTTCTGCTACGAGAACGAGCTTGCGCTGAGCTGCTGCCAGGAGGAAGAGGAAACCCCGGACGGGGAGGAGTCGGAGGCAGAAGAGGGGGCCGCCAGCCCCCGAGGACTCACACCAACCCCGTCTCTGGCCCCGCCCCCGTGATACCGGCTGGTGCCCCCATTTGTAGCCCCTTCCCAGGGGCAGCAGCATGGAGAGATGGGGCCCGCTGCTGGGTAAATCATTAGCTGGTGACCTTCTGCCTGCCTAGTGGCCGTGGCGTGCTCCCTCCTGAGACCCCTTTATCGGCTGGATTCCTCAGTCTCACCAGGGCTAAGGGATCCAGGATTCCGGACCCACCCAGGTGGCATGGACTGGTGGTTCTAGATTCTTCTACATGACTGGCTTGGGTTGTTGAGCAGGGTCGGGAATCAGTCATACAGACTGCCTCTGGGGGAGGGAGTCAGCAGGTCTCAAGCAGCGGGAGAGAGATGGAGAGTTCACAGGTCTGGGTCGGTCTGCTGTGCAAGGGACCATTGTGTCTCGGCTCAGTCAACCAAGCAGCAGGTCATCTTTCTCTAACCACCTGAGGAGGGAAACGTCTGGAATCCTCCAAGAATCCAGGACTGTTTTGATTGACCTGGAATGTCGATTACAAGCCCAGAAAAGACCTGTGATTCCAGAAAGCCCGTGTTTCGAGACTGTTCGTCTGATTGACCTTAGATAGCAGAAGTGCTCCAGAATCTAAAGAACTGTGCTTCTGGAATGCACAGAACAATGGAGAGTCTGTTGGTCTAGAGCAGTGGTCGGCAAACACATTAGTCCACAGAGCCAAATATCAACTACCACGATTGAAATTTTCTTTTGAGAGACACATTTTTTTAAACCTAAACTATATCGGTAGGTAGGTTGTTAAGAACTGAATTAGGGTACTGCTCAGCTGGCCTTTGCTAAAAACTCAAGGGGCGAAGAGCCGCCCGTGGCTCGCGAGCCGCCGTTTGCCGGCCACTGCTCTAGGAAGACTGAAGTGACAGAGGGCGAGTTCCTGATAGCAGATAGCTCCAGACCAGTGGCTGTAGAACGCCAAGGCCAGAGGAGAATCGATGCTTCTAAATGATCCACAGGTGTGTTTATTAAAGTGCCATTCTAGAATGTCCAAAGGAAGCAAGATTCTGCGGCTCTCGGTCGACCACAGAGTCAAGGAAGGACTGGCGGTTCCGGATGACTCCTGCGTGGTTCTGTCATGCCGAAGGGAGCTGAGGCGTCAGGGATCCGGAGCTGACCGTGGCCAAACCCTGGACGTGCTAGTCGGCTCCTGTGGCGGGTGGACTCGGGACTTGCTAGACAGCGTTTCTGGGCCGGCCTGAAGGTGAGGGCCCAGACAAGGCCCCGCGGACAAACAGGGCTGGTTACTGGGCAAGGGGAAGGAGGGGACCGTGGCTGGTGAGTCTACGATGCTCTGGAATCCTACACCCAGTGATGTGTATCTATTTCTTAAAGACGTTATATATGTGTGTATGATATATTATATAAATACAGATATCTATCCCCCCCACATGGTTCTTTTAAAAAAAAAAAACACATATTTTATTGATTTTTTTTTAAACAGGAAGGGAGAGGGATAGAGAGTTAGAAACATCGATCAGCTGCCTCCTGCACCCCCCCCCCCCCTTTCTGGGAATGTGCCCGCAACCAAGGTACATGCCCTTGACTGGAATCGAACCCAAGACTCTTGAGTCCGCAGGTCGACGCTCTATCCACTGAGCCAAACCGGCTTCCCTCCCCCCTCTCCCCCATGGTTCTTACAGAGGGTTAGAAGTGGACGGAATCCTTTCTAAGGACCCAGAAGCTTTGTTCTGAATCCTATCTCTGCGTAAGGACTGTGTGGCTGGGCACACCACTCCTTTCCTCGCCTCGGTTTCCTCATCTGTAAAAAAGGGGCATTGGAACTTGACCTTCTCCAAGGGCCTTTCCTCGGCCATGATTCCTCACTTCCCTGAGGGGGGCGTGGGGCCGAGGGTCCTAGAGACTTCCCAGCTCTTCCTGGTGCCGGGATACGTGGCCTTGCAGGGATGGGAGCGCTCGGGGAGGCCAGCGCTGAATTTGAGCATCTGAAGGTCAGGGCGGGCTGGTGCAGGGGGGCTGTGGCCAGAACCAGCGCCTCCCTCGTCCAGCTCAGCGGACAGGAGGGAGCTCTGCATACCAGGGGCCAGGATGTGGTTAGGGGGAGACTCGTCCCCCAGGTGAAGCCATTGGGAGCCTGGTGCTGTGCCTGAGTGTGTGCTTCTGGGGCCTGGCCTGGCCTCTGCCCACGCTTTTTTTTTTTTTTTTTTTTTTTTTTTTAATATATTTTATTGATTTTTGTACGGAGAGGAAGGGAGAGAGATAGAGAGTTAGAAACATCGATGAGAGTCATCGATCAGCTGCCTCTTGCACACCCCCTACTGGGAATATGCCCGCAACCAAGGTACATGCCCTTGACCGGAATTGAACCCGGGGCCCTTCAGTCCCCAAGCCGACGCTCTATCCACTGAGCCAAACCGGTCCTGGCTGCCCATGCTTCTATCTGCTTCAGTGGCCAGCAGGCAGGGAGCCAGCTGCTAAAGGAACCAGTGCCTGTGAGGATCCGTCCCCACCCCCATGTCCCACCCGGTCCCGGGACTGAGGGCGGCCACTGGCATTGCCCACCAGCCTGCCCAGGTGCTGCAACAGCCCAGGGCCTCCCTTCTGGCTTACCCACCGCCACCTCCCTTTATCCTCCAGAATCTCCGCGTAATAACCGGATGGGATTAATTAGCTGGCTGCCCTCCCAGCTCAGGGCGTCTGGGGGAGGGCCGGGGACCATGGAAATAGGGGTGGGAGAGAATGCTAAGTGTGAGGCGAAGGGTCCGGGAAAGGGTTCTGCTTGGAGTGGGGTCGTGGCTGGCACACAGGCTGGGTTTCCAGGCGGGAGGGCAGGTCCCAGGCCCCTGCTAAAGGCCAGTGAGATTAGGAAGCTCCATGTCTAATCTGTCCGTTTAGCCAGATCCCAGCTCTGAATCTGTCTCTCCCTGCCTAGCCCATGGGAATGAGGACAAGCCCCCGTCACCGCCTCAGACCCCATTAGGGACCTGCCGGTGACAGGGTGCCCAGGTCCTCCCTTCTGCTCAGGGTCCTGCACCCGCTTTGCCTGCCAGGCCTGGGGGTGAGAGTGGGGTGGGGTTAGGGCCTCAGGTGCAGGAGGACTCTGAGAGGAGGGAGGGGAGCATGTGAAGGGAGGCGAGTTGGAGAGAAGGGAGAGGACCCTGAGAAGTGGGTGAGGAATTGGAGCAGGGGGCAGGGTGCTGAGGAAAGGGGAGCTGTCGTCCATCGGGGGAGGATGCTACAATAAGGGGAGGAGCGTTAGGGAGAGGGGGAGGAGTTTGAGCTCGATGGCTCCAGGAAGGCGGGGCCTGTGCTTTCACTATATTTGGCCTTTTCCTACTGTCCCATGCTCCTTGACAGGTACCAAACAGCGTAACATTTTTTTAAATATATTTTTTTATTGATTTCAGAAAGAGAGAAAGAGAAACAAACAAACAAAACACATCAATGATGAGAGAGAATCATTGATTGGCTGCCTCCTGCACACCCCAGTAACCCAGATATGTGCCCTGACCAGAATTGAACCATGAGCATCCATAGGTCAACCATGAGTCATGCTAACCGGACCAAATAGTGTAGCATTTAAAAGACAGAGTATGTCTTTTTCCCAACCCTTCTTAACTCTGAAGAGGCTGGGGTGGGTGGGAGAGGGTAAAAGGATCTGGAGAAAGGAGGCCAAAAGAAAGGTGAGCCTGGGGTGGGGGTCGGGGGTGTCAACCAAAGGACTAGTATACACGCACATACGCATCATCAATGAACACACACAGTAGAGGGGGGAAGGCATGTGCTGGGGTGGGAGTGGCCAGGGAGAGGTCAAGGGGTGGGGGGGAGACATATATAATACTTTCAACAATAAATAATTTAAAATAAAGCCTTAACCTGCCTGGCTCAGTCGGCCTGTGAACTGAAAGGTCCCGGGTTCGATTCTGATCAAGGGCATGTACCTGGGTTGCAGGCACATCTCCAGTACGAGGTGTGCAGGAGGCAGCTGATCGCTATTTCTCTCTCATCGATGTTTCTAACTCACTATCCCTCTCCCTTCCTCTCTGTAAAAAAAAAAAATCAATATTTTTTTTAAAAAAAGAATTTAAATTAAAAAAATAAAAAAAATAAATAAAAAGGGAGCCGGAGCTGCTCCCGGTTGCGTGGCAACAGCTGTCTTCAAAAGGAAGCTTGGTTGCTAGGAGCTGCGGCTCAGAGAACCACCGACAGCTGGGGCCCCGCCCCCTGCAACAGGACACCCGAAGCACCGACCCCCAGCAACGCACCGCCCGCTGCGGGGCTCGGCGGAAACGGCACCCCTTTGCCCGAAGTCGGGGCGCGGGCGAAGCCCCCATTGCCCCCCAGCAAACCCCCCTCCGAGCAGCTCCTTCCCGAGGCTCCTCATTGGCGGGCGAACCAGCCGAGTGACTTCTTTTGTCTCAGAGGCGGCGCCCCGTGTCCTCGGCGCGCGCTCTGGTTGGCCCGCGGGACCGTCTATCTCCGGCCGACCCTGCCAGCCTGCTCCTTGCGCGCTGATTGGCCCAGGAGAACGGTCCCTCGGCGGCGAGGGCGGAGCAGGCGGGAGGGCCCGGCCCGGATTGGGCGGTGTCAAGACGAGGGGCGGTCCCTACCGGCGGGGCGGTTGGGAGGCGAAGGCAGAGTCTTTTCAGCGCTGAGGACTGGCGCTGAGGAGGCGGCGGTGGCTCCCGGGGCGTTTGAGCGGGCTCACCCGAGCCCGCGGGCCGACGCGGAACCAGGCCCGACCGGCGGGACCGCCCCGGACTCCCCGCGGGGCTTCCTAGCCGCCATGGAGGACGGCGTCTACGGTAGGTCGGCGAGGGGTGGGGCCGGCCGGGGGCGGACGGAGCCCCCTCGCCCCCAGCGATCCGCCGCGAACGCGTCTCCCGGCGCGCGCCCCTCGGAGCTGCTCGGCACCGTCGCCGCCGCCTCGTTTTTTGTTTTTTTTTGTGGGGCTCGGGATGGGCTTCCGGCAGGGCCCGAGAGCGGGGCGTTCCAGGCCATTGTTTGGGCCGATCCCGCTTCCGGTGGCGGCGGGAGGGGGCGGGATGAGCGGCGGAGGGGCGGCCGCGGCGGAAGCATTCCCCCCCGGAGGGGCCGGCGAGCCCAGTGCCTGCTGGGAGCAGGGAGGGGGGGTCCTGGGGGCCGAGGGCTGAGGGAGAGATCTGGGGGCTCCGGCGATCCCACCGAAGACCGCGGCCTCTGATGCCCCGCCCCCCTGCCCCAACTCTTACGAGCTGTCATCGGCTTCCCCGCCATAGTTTTACTTTTCACGGGCCCAGGAGTCCGGGCACCCAGCCCCCCGCCTACATCGCTGAGAATGGAAGGAGGAAGCCACGGCCTCGGCTCCTTTCCAAGTAAATGAGCCAGCCATGCAGACCTCCAGCCCCCTTCTCCTCCTTCATACCCGGATCCCCTTCTTCCCCAGGACTCCAGAGAGTCTAGATCCTCAGCCCCTCCTCCCCTGGAGGAGTCCAGGCCCCCAGCCCCTTCTCCTGCAGACATAAGAGGCCTGACCCTCACCTTCCTCCTCCCTCTGAACCCAAGGGCCATGCCCACCCCCACCCCCACCCCCAGCCCTGTAAAATCCAGATGGCCGGAAAACGGGCTTCCCGTCCCCAGAACTGACCTCCAACCCCTGACCCCTCAGAGCCCCCAGACCTGACCCCGGAGGAGCGGATGGAGCTGGAAAACATCCGGCGGCGGAAGCAGGAGCTGCTGGTGGAGATCCAGCGCCTGCGCGAGGAGCTCAGCGAAGCCATGAGCGAGGTGGAGGGTCTGGAGGCCAATGAGGGCAGGTGAGGACTGGAGTGGGAACTTGGGGGATCACGGGCCCGGCCAGGGCCAGGGCTGCCCAGACATTGACCCTCCACCCTCTGCTCTCTGCCTCCGCAGTAAGACCTTGCAGCGGAACCGGAAGATGGCCATGGGCAGGAAGAAGTTCAACATGGACCCCAAGAAGGTGCTTGGGGCCACAGGGCTGGGGTCCAGCCTGGCAAACGTCCTGGCGGGTTCCTGGCACCGCCAGGTCCCAGTAGTGTCTTGGTGAAAGGCCTGCTTTAGGGGGACAGGCTTGGTCCCAAACCCGGGATTTCGAGATCGACCGTCCATTTGTTCCCTGGACATTAACCACGTGCCCCAGCCCGCGGACCTTTGCTTGTGCTGTGCCCTCTGCCGGGCGCTCCTCTTTCCCTCCTTGTTCCTGTTTCTGGACCCACTTCTGTGCCTCCTAGAGTCCCAGGAGGGGCGCATGTCTGGTAGGACAGAGACAGGGACGTGCTCAGGGGTGTCATGACAGGCCCAGTAGCTGTGGACGCTCAGAGGAGGGAGCCTGGGGCATCAGGGAGGACTTCCTGGAAGAGGAGGTTCTCAGGTCAGGTTTGAAGGAGTCAGTGTTCACCAGGTGGAGGAAAGGCATTTGTTCGTTCAGTCGGTCAGTTTATGCCCATTTCCTCCTGCCTCCCCTGGCCTGCCCGTCAGCTACCAGTGCTCGGCACCTAGAGAGCGGTCCACTCTGCTTGGCCTTCAGGGCGCCCCTAGACATGGCTGCCACAGCCCAGAGCGAGGGGGAGCTATAGTGGAGGTCCTCGTGGCGTCGGGAGAGCAGAGGAGGCCGGGGTTGGCCCTCACAGTTTTTTTTTTATTGTTTTTTTTTTTTACAGAGAGGAAGGGAGAGGGAGAGAGAGTTAGAAACATTGACGAGAGAGAAACATCGACCAGCTGCCTCCTGCACACCTCCTACTGGGGATGTGTCTGCAACCAAGGTACATGCCTTTGATCAGAATCGAACCTGGGACCCTTCAGTCTGCAGGCCGACGCCCTATCCACTGAGCCACACCGTTTAGGACAGCCCTCGCAGTTGAAGGACTGCTGCCCACTGAGTTTCTCACATTATGCGTCCTGCCCCGAGCAGGGTAGCTTGTTCAGTCCTTCAGCAAACAGCCATTGAGCCCCTGTTCCCTGCCAGGCGCCGCTCTCGGTGCAGGCGTTAACCAGGCAACGGCAGAGGGAACCGTAGGTGCCGAGGCTGAGTGCCACAGGCGGGAGGGGTGCTATTAAAAGGCCTGTGAGGCCTGCAATGACACCTGGCCCTCCTGGTCAGCGTGCGGTGGGTCTCGGTGCTGAGGCTTCTGGGGAGGCGGTGGGAGTGGCTGCCGGCATATTAGCACTGAGACCGGGTCCCCACTCCCTAGGGGATCCAGTTCTTGGTGGAGAACGAGCTTCTGCAGAACACACCGGAGGAGATCGCCCGCTTCCTGTACAAGGGCGAGGGCCTGAACAAGACGGCCATCGGGGACTACCTGGGGGAGAGGTGAGATCCCGCCCGCTCCCCTGGCCCTCCCCCAGCCCTCCATCCAGCTCACTGCAAGCTGCTCTCCTGAGGAGAGACCCTGGTACACGAACCTTCCAGCTGGACCATGACAGGCTGGGCTGACACGGGGCCTGGGGGAGCCTGGGGCCATCTGGGGAACCTAGGGACTGACTGAGCATCTCGGGGCATGGGGACCTTCTGTGGACATCTGGGGAGTGGGGCCATTTATGCCTGGGGACAGGAGAAAAGCCGTAGGAAGGTGAGAACTGGGCGGACCACGGATGTGCATGGGAGTGTGTGGGCAGCGTGGCAGTATGGGGATCAGCGGTGGATGTTCGTGGAGCCTGGAGACCCCGTGGAAATCTGGGAGCAGGACTCCAGGGTGTATGGGGACTGCCTAGAAATCTAGGGTGCATGAGCCTGGACAGCAGTGCACAGGCACCATCTGTGGGTGTCAGGAAGGCAGGGACTGTCTGAACCCTAAGGTGCAGGAGGGCATTCTGGGAAGTCGGGGAAGCCTGGGACCATCCGAGGTGCACAGGACTCCGGGTGTCTGGGCGCTTCGGGATGGTGTGGATCTCTAGAGTGGGTGGAACTTTCTGGACATCTGAGATGTATGGCGCCTGAGGATGTGGGAACTGATGTCTAAGAACCTTCTGTGTGTGGGGCATGTGGGGACCATTTGTGGACAGCTGAGCCGTGTGGCGACGGGGCATCTGGCATTGCAGGGAACGTGTAGTGGACATGTGGGGGTGGGGGTGGGGACTGTCTGTGGATGTCGGGTGGGTTGGGGGCCGTCTCTGGGCTCTGAGGAGCCTGGGGATCAGCTGAGAGGCGACAGTAGACGGAGCACATGTTGGCTGCATTTCTCTGTGCAAAGGGTCAGCCAACCAGGCTCTTACACAGATGATCCTCCCAAGAGCATGCTCTGCGTGCCCTGCCCTGGGGCGAAGCCAGCACTGGGCAGAAGTGGTGGCCTTCCCAGGGCTGGGTCCGCCCCCACCTCCCCAAATGCCTCTTCTGAAGCCTGTCTGTCCCCCAGGGAAGAGCTGAACCTGGCCGTGCTGCACGCCTTCGTGGACCTGCACGAGTTCACCGACCTCAACCTGGTGCAGGCGCTCAGGTGAGGGCACTGGCTGGCAGGCAGGCGCGTACCTGTCCACCGCCGCCTCTACAAGCGATGACACTGCTCAGAACTAAAATAGGAACAAAAATGCGGGACTTGGTTGCTGCACGCAACACAAAAGCCCGTGGGGTCTTCAGGCGCAGCTGGTTCCAGGTGTTCAGATGGTATCAGAAGGTCAGCGTTATCTCTTGGTTGTGCTCGCCACGGTGCCGGCATTGCTCATTACGGGCCCCGCTCCCACGTGATAAGCCTCTGCCATCCCCCAGGCCTCGTTAGCCAGCTTAGGAGAAAGAGTACTGTCCTTCAGTCCTCCAAAAGGCCCAGAGTCAGTGCTCATTGGTCCGGTTGGGTCATGTGTCCATACCCGGAACAGCTGCTGAGGCCACAGGTTTGGGGGACTGGGCGCAGGAATGGGGTTCCCCCTGTCCTGACAGCCGCCCCTGATCCCTCTCTGACGCAGGCAGTTTCTGTGGAGCTTCCGCCTCCCCGGGGAGGCCCAGAAGATCGACCGGATGATGGAAGCCTTCGCCCAGCGATACTGCCTGTGTAACCCCGGGGTTTTCCAGTCCACAGGTGGGCGCCCGGCCCCTGGGGCTGGAGAGGCGGGCTGGGCCGGGCGGGAGGCGTTGGGGCCACTCACCTGTGTCCTCACCCGGACTGCTGCAGACACCTGCTACGTGCTGTCCTTTGCCGTGATCATGCTCAATACCAGCCTGCACAACCCCAACGTCCGGGACAAGCCGGGCCTGGAGCGCTTCGTGGCCATGAACCGGGGCATCAACGAGGGCGGGGACCTGCCCGAGGAGCTGCTCAGGGTCAGGCCGCGCCTCCCCCCCCCCCCCCCCAGCCCCAGCCCCCAGCCCTCCCTGCGGGTCTCCGTGCCTGAGCCTGCCACCTGGGGTTCCGCCTTCCCACCGTTTCTACCATTCCTTCCCACCATTCCTTCTCTCCCCGCCGCCTCTTCCTTTGTCTCTGCTTCTCTTCCCGGCCTCTGTCTCTGGCCCTCTGACTTTCAGGGTCTTTGTCTACCTCATCCTCCGCCTGTGTCTGTTTCTGTCTTTAAGAACTCAGCGGATCTTAACAGTGTCTGTCTTCTCCATCTTTTCTGTCTTGCCTCCTTTCTCTCCTTCCCAGGGCTCCCTCCACTCCTCCGCCTTCCTTTTCTCCCCGGGCTCCCCCTCCTCCCTCCTTCTCTCCCTCCATGGCTGCGCCCCCAGCCCCCCCCCCCCCGCCAAGTACCCGGGAGGGTCCGGGGGCCTGGCCTCGCTGACTGGCTCTCGCCCTCAGAACCTCTACGACAGCATTCGGAACGAGCCCTTCAAGATCCCGGAGGACGACGGGAACGACCTGACCCACACCTTCTTCAACCCGGACCGGGAGGGCTGGCTCCTTAAGCTGGGTACGTCCTCTGCGGGAGGCCAGCGGCCTGGCTCTGGTCCCGGCTTCCACACGTGCCTGCCGTGTGAGCCTGGGCAGGCCACGCGGCCTCGCAGCCTGTTTGCACGCCTGCGTCATGAGGCTGACGACAGAGCAGGCCTGCATGCTGGCCCGGGTGCAGGCCCCGCATAGGGCCCCGCAGACATTGTGGGGGAAGCGGAGGGCCCCGGCACAGGGTACTGCCAGGCTGTGCGGGAGCATGGAGTCCCTGACCGGGACGGGAGGGGGTGGTGCCAGCAAATGGGTCAGTCAGCGGGGTCACCCGGTGCCTCTGCCTGAGGATCGGTGCTTCTCCGTGCACAGGCGTCACCGGGGAGCCGTCACACATGGGAAAAGCTCCCGGGTGGCCCTAATGCGGAGCTGAGGTTGGCGCTGGCTCGCAGCCGGGCCTGGTAAAGTAGGTGCCATGGGAGTGTTTGCCGCGGCTTTTTAATGGCGGAGCCATGAATGGCTGCTCGGGGAGGCAGACTGGCAGCGTCACAGTCCGGTGTGCACAGTGCAGACGGGAGCGGGAGGCCCCGAGGACGCTTCCAGCCCAGCGCCAGGCCAGGGCAGGACTGCCTCCCGGGGTAGGTGCCCGAGCCCAGGCAGCCTTCTGCAGCCCCAGAAGCAGGCCCTGCCCGGTGCAGACGGCCGGGTGCACGTGAAAAACACAAATCCCATCCCCCAGCCAGCGTGCTGGTGCGTGGCTCCTGGGGATTCCGGCTCCGCAGTGCAGGTGTCGGAGGGCAGCGTCACCAACGATGCCCCCTCCCAAGCCCTCCCTCGGCAGCCATCCTGCCCACTGCCCAGATGAGGAGTGAGGCTCGGTCACCCTCCAGCAGCTCAGGGCAGAGGTGGCCTTGGGCCCAGACCTCCCCGAGTGCATCCCCGCTTTGTGGTCATTAGGAAAATGGCCTCTTAAAGCCCTGACGTGCAGGAGCGGGGCTCTGATCTCAGCGGTGGTAACGAAAGCCATACACTGCTGCCGCTTAGTCCCTCGGGCCCCCGGGACCCGGGCAGGGCCTCTGGAGCAGGAAGGTGGCTACAAGGGCCAGAGGTGGTGCTGAGGTCGCCCGGGCGGTAGTGCTGGACCTGGGGCCAAGGCCGGGGCTCTGTCTGCTCCCCGTGGGGGACCTCCGGGCACAGGCGGGTTCATGCGGCAGCGGAGGGCCTAGCCTAGGACATGTGCCCGTGGTCTGGGCCTGGCACTGACCGGGGGGCTCGTGGCTGCCTCCTGGGCTCAGGGCACTTGCCTCCCGGGCGGGAGAGGGCCTGGCTCGGCCTCCCTCATGTGGATGTAACTGGTTTTCTTCCCTTTCTCTCCCTCCCTCCCTGCGTCTCTCTTCGCTGTTTCTCTCTGTCCTACCCCCTGCGCATCCCTGCCCTCGCCCACCCTCTTTCTGTTGCCTGTGGCTCTTGGGGGCACCCCCTCTTCTGCCTTGCCTTCTCGCCTGGTCCTGCCTGCTTTCTCGCTGTCTGCCCCAGGAGGTAGGTACACGGCGTCCTCAATCCCCAACACTCCAGGAGAGGGGGCTGGGGGCTCAGACACCTGGGCCGGGGCCGACCAACAGGCTTAGGAAGTGTACAGCCCCCCGGGGGGTGGGCCAGTTCCCGGGGCCCCCACACGCCTGTCCCCCCACACGCTTGTCTGTCTTTCCCACGCACTGCTTTGTCCCCGGCCCCGACAGCCCTCGCCCCGCGCTTGCTCTGCCTCTCACCCGTCCCCCTCCCAGAGGCCCTGACCCTGTGCTGAGCCCGGGCCCCCTCCCGCCCCTTCCCTTGCAGGGGGCCGGGTGAAGACATGGAAGCGGCGCTGGTTTATCCTCACGGACAACTGCCTCTACTACTTCGAGTACACCACGGTGAGCCCGGCGCCGGGCGCCCTGCGTCCGGGAGGAGGGGCTGGGGGCGGATTGGGGGGTCTGAGTCCTGTCCCACCTGCTCTTTCAGGACAAGGAGCCCCGAGGCATCATCCCCCTGGAGAACCTGAGCATCCGGGAGGTGGACGACCCCCGGAAACCAGTAAGACCCTCTCTGTGCCCCTTCCTGCCCCAGCGGGGGCTCCTCCGCCCTCCGGCCAGCTCTCAGCCGCCCCCTCCTCTCTGGTGTCTCCCCAGAACTGCTTCGAGCTTTACATCCCCAACAACAAGGGGCAGCTCATCAAAGCCTGCAAGACGGAGGCAGATGGCCGCGTGGTGGAGGGGAACCACATGGTGTACCGGATCTCGGCCCCCACGCAGGAGGAGAAGGACGAGTGGATCAAGTCCATCCAGTGAGTCTGGGCTCCGGGCCCCGGGGGGGGAGGGGGGCGGGACCAGCCCCCTGGCCCTCACCCTGGCTCTCCCCTCCCGCAGGGCAGCTGTGAGCGTGGACCCCTTCTACGAGATGCTGGCCGCCAGGAAGAAGCGGATTTCCGTCAAGAAGAAGCAGGAGCAGCCCTGACCCTGTCCCCCACTCCATTATTTATTACTGCGCCGCCCGCCCGGGTGGCCGGACCCCTGGGACGGGGCTGTGGATGCTGGTTCCCCGTGTGGAAACGTACCACCTCTGGTTCCTCTCTCCTTATTTGTAATTAACGCACTGTTGGTAATATTAATTATTGAACTGCTCCCGGCCTGCTGACCTCTCATTTCTCGGGGTTGATAGCGGGCAGCCCCATCCGGGGCCGGGAGCTGGTCTGTCCGTGGAGTGAAGGGTGCCGCCCAAGAGGGCGACCCCGGGGCCTCGGGTGGCCCAGTTCTGGTTGTGCCAGGCCCGCGGGGTGGTGACGGGAGGCGGTTGGTGTAGCCGGAGTCGGTGTTACTTTAGAACGCCACGGGGACGCAGGTATTCCCTGGCGAGCTGGCACCCACCCAGATGCCATTGGGCAGCCCAAGCCCGCGGATGCTGCCCCCTGAAGCAGCTTGTGGTCTCTGAGGGGTGACCGCTAACAGCTGGTGGGTGGGACTGTGCTTTGTGGGCCAACCAGAGAGCTGGAAAGGCTATGAGGGGACGCTGGGGGGTCTGGGGAGGAGTCCTGAGAGGAGGAGGAGGAGGAGGAGGAAGGCCCAGGTTGGACCGGCAGGTGGGGGAGCCCTTGCTCAGCGCTCACCCAGAGCTGCTGGTGTGGGAAGAGGGCCAGCCCAGGGGATGGTGCCAAGAGGCAGGAATGCAGTAGGCGGACCGGTTTCTCCGCCGGATTAACCTCGTGAGGACATCTCACACCGAGCAGAGCAGGGACAGCGCCCAGACCCCGTGTTTCTGTCGCATCCCTTTCCCGGGACTCAGCCTGGAGTGGAAGGAGGTTGAGGGGGCCCCTGAGAGCCAGGTCCGGGCCTGGGCACCTTTCCCTCCGGCTCAGGGCACGCGTGGTGTCCCCATGGAGCAAAGGGGTGGTTGGGCAAAGTGGGAGACCCCATGGCGCTCTCCTGGACTAAGGCTGCCCACGGTGCAGTTCTCCCGCACCCTGCACCCCCCCCCCCGGAAGTTGAACCCCTAATTGATGCTCCTGGTGGAGTGGTCACAGGCCTCTGCCAGCGAGCAGGGCCCCTATGTGCAATAGCAGTCAGTCACCCTCCGAGGTGGCGCCCTCTCTGGCAAGAAGGGACCACAACTCCTGGAAAGCTATGCTGCTCAGCCTGCCCCGTTGCCGGGGGAGTCATTCCCGAGGTCTCCTGGGAGTTGTAGTTTCTCCAGACAATGCTGTCAGCGTGGCCTTAGCCTGGTGCCCAGCCAGGATGGGAAAAGAGGCCTGACGGCCTCAACCCCCGGGGCTGATAGGGAGTGGATTTTCCGGCTCCTCCCAAAAGTTCCACGGAAATGGAGTCATCAAGCCAAGAAGGTTCTGGTAAATGGGATCCTTGGGTAAATAAAGGGTCTCGTCACCGTCTCTCTCCTCCATGGAATGAAGCCACGGAAGCCGTGGGCTCAGCCAGAGGCCCTGGAAGGGCATTCCAGGCCAAGGGAACAGCATGTGCAGAGGCAGGAAAAGGCTGGCGTGTTGGGGTCACTGACAGTGGCCCAGCCTGCCTGCCTGGTGGTGATGGTGGGGGAGGGGGACAGGAAATGAGGGGGCGCCTTGGCCGGTTTTCTCAGTGGTTAGAGCATCAGCCTGAAGACGGAAGGGTTGCAGGTTCAATTCAGGTCAAAGGCACGTCCCTCAGTGGCAGGCTCAATGTCTCACCCCTCACCCCCAGGGTTGGGGCATACCAATTGATATATCTTTCACATCAATGTTTCTGACCTTCCACTTTCTGAAAATAGATGGGAAAATATCTTCGGGTAAGGACTAACAGGAAAGAGAGGAGAGAAAATGGAGGGGATGCATGGGCCTGATCTTTCGGGCCCAGCGCTTGGAATGTGTTTTCTGTGGAGGCCATCCAAGGAGTGATGTGATGCATTTGGGTGGAGGCTGCAGGCGGGGCCCCAGGCCTGAGCGGCTGGCCGGCAGGCGGGTGGGAGGGAGGCTGAGCAGTCAGCCAGGGGTGAGGGTGTGGCTGCAGAGGCAGGACAGTGGCCAGGGGAGTGGTTTGGGAAGAAGAGCCAGTAGGACTTGCTGAGGGCTGGGTCAGCCTGGATTCCGGCTGGAGTATCTGGTGAACGGCAATGCCATTGAGGAGAGGATGGAAGAGGGACTGTTTGTTGAGGGAAACCAGTGGCTTCGTGTTAGCCAATCTAAGCTGCATTGTCGGTGAGTCATCCAGTGTGACTCTCGTCATCTCAACATTACCCTTCAATGCCCCTCTCCCCCCCACCTCAGTCTCTCCAAGGACCAAGAATTCCAGCTTCCAGCTCCCTCCTCTCCCAGGACCCCAAAGTCCCCACTCCCTTGTTATGGGTGACCCCCCAAAACCCGTATGTTGACGCCCTAGCCCCCAGGATCTCAGAGTGTGACCGTATTTGAAAACAGCGTCATTGCGGATAAAATTAGGGAAGATGAGGTCACTAACATGGGCCCTCATCCAACATGATGTCCTTCCTTCTGCAAAGGGACATTTTGAACACGGAGACACGCACAGGGAGGATGCTGGGTAACAATAAAGGCAGGGTCAGGGCCAAGGAACCTTCAAGACTGCCAGCAACACCCCGAAGGCCCTCCCCTCCGCCTCAGAACGAGCCGGGCCTGCTGGCGCTTTGATCTTGAACTTGTAGCCTCCAGCACGGACAATAAATGTGTGTGATTTAAGCCCCCCGATTTGTGGTCCTTGGTTAAAGGAGGCCCAGCACACCGATGCACCCCTCCTCCCTCAGGCCCTGCCTGGCTTGGTCCATGCGGCTCCCTGCTCCAGCAGGCATGTCCCAGGGTCAGTTCAAGCACCTCCAGCTGTACAGGTGGCAGAAGTGGGGAGAGGCACCCACACAGTCCTCTCTCCCTCTCTCCATCCCTCAGACCCACTCGTGCCCCACATGCCCTCAGAGTCCACAGCATCCTAGCTAAGTCTCTTCTCCGGGCCCCTTCCCTCCTCTCGTAGCCAAACTATAGCCCACAGGTATGCAAATGAATCCAGTACCAAGGGGATGGGGAACAGGTTGAAACCAGATCAGAGCTAATAAATAAATAAATAAATAAATAAATAAAATAAAAAAATAGATCCTGTCAGAAAGAGATGGAAGCACAATCAGTCCAGAATCAGAAGGAACCAAGAGGCAAAACATGGAGACAATCACACAAGGCAGCAAGACATAATGGAGCCATAGGGAACAGAATCAGAGATAGTGGCCCCAGCCGGTCTGGCTCAGAGGCCAGAGCGTCAGCCTGTGGACTGAAGGGTCCCCGGTTCCATTCCAGTAAGGCCCAGGCCCGGGTTGCGGGTTTGGTCCCCGCCTATGGGTCTTGCAGGACGCAGCCGATCAATGATTCTCACCATTGATGTTTCTCTCTTTCCCTTCCTCTCTGAAATCAATGATATATATATATATTTTTTTTTAAATATATTTTTTATTGATTTTCTACAGAGAGGAAGGGAGAGGGATAGAAAGCCAGAAACATCGATGAGAGAGAAACATGGACCAGCTGCCTCCTGCACACCCCCTACCGGGGATGTGCCCGCAATCAAGGTACATGCCCTTGACCAGAATCGAACCGGTTTCAGCAATAAAAAAAATATATTAAAAAAAATAGAGACTGTGAACTGAAAGAAATGGCAGTAGAGTTAGATGAGAAAAGAGGCTGAGGGACAGACACAGATGGAGAGATGGGAAGGTCCCACGGCAGGTGGTGGCCAGAACGGGGGTCGGTGAGACACAGGGCTGAGAGGGACGGAACCGAAGGGTGAAGTCCCGTGGAGAGATGCAGTCAGAGGAAAGCAAGAGGCCAGAATGCCAGGGAAATGGGCAAACGGAGGCAGGGCCAGGCAGGGCCATTCTGAGGGGGGTGGGAGGTGGCTGGTCCGTATGGGCTGCTGGCAGGTAACTCCTGGGTTCCCCTCACCCCAGGCCTGGCCCTCCCCCCACACCCGGTCCCTCCCCTCGCTCACTCAGCTGCGGCCATCCCCCCGACCTTCCCTAACCCTCACCAGGGCCTCCTGGCCGCTTGGAAGCCGGGCTGCAGCTGCTCGGCGAGGCTGGCCTTGGCGCCAGGGTGCAGGGAGCAGTGCCCTCTCGGCCTTCCTGAGCCTCGATGGTCCCGTCTGTCCCTGTGGGTGAGGATGGCGTCTCCCGGGAGCACCTGCTCCCCGCGTCCTCCCCTCTTTCCCCCCCGAAACACACAGAGGCCCTGCGTTCCTCCAAAAAGTTTTTTGTCTTTTTTAAATAATGTGAAAATGCCACGCGAAGAAGGTTGGAACCAGAAGCCCCGCCGGGGCCAGGCCGGGGCGGGGAAGGGGAAACGCGAGATGGGGGGTGGGGGTCCAGGTCCCCCGAAGCCTGCGGCCCCGTCTGAGGCGGGAGGGCGGGAGGGGCCCCGCTGTGCGGGGCTCCAGGCCCGAAGTCCAGTTCAGTTCCAAGAAGGCGGCTCTCCGGGGAGGGGGGGCCTCCTGCCTCATTTGGCACCGAGGGGGTCGGGGGGGTCAGGGGAGCCTTCCGGGGGGCTGAGGGGCAGGGGGCCAGGGCCCCCCGTTTGGCACATGGTGGGGGAGGGGGAGGGCCCGGCCTCAGGGGGCCCCCCAGAGGTGGCGTCTGTGGTGGTGGCAGTGGCTCCGTCGTCCACAGAGGTTTCCATCCTCAACCCCTCTTCTGGGGGCGCAAGGGGGTCGGGTCTTTGGGGGGTCAGTTCTCCACAGGGCCTGCCGACAAGGGGGAGTGGGGAGAGAAACAGAATCACTGGGTGAAGCCCCCACTGCGGCTCACAGGCCTCCCTGCCTGCTGGGTCCCTTCCCATCCTCACTCACCCTCCCCTCGCTCACTCAGCTGCAGCCAGTCCTATCCTACTCGGCTCCCAGCCCAGTCCTGCCCCAGGGCCTTTGCACGTGCTCCCACCGCCCAGAGCCATGAGCTCAGGCCGCTGCTGGACGCCCCTCCCCGAAGGCCTTGCCTGGCCGTTTTCAGTCAAGCAGGTGCCCGCTCGGCCCTCCGTGGCATGGTGCCATGGCTACTTCTCTCTGGCTCCTCGGGGATCAGCCCAGCCAGAACCCCAGAACCCCAGAGCTTCCTGTCTGCTTGCCCCTTCAGAACAAAGCTCAGGGAGCACGGGTCCGTGGTCCCTGCCATAAAGCGCCCTCCCACCCACCTCCCTGGACCCCTCCATTCCCAATGGGAGGGATGTCCCCCCCATTGCAAGTCAGAGAAACAAGAGCTTGGGGTGGAGGACCTTGCCGAGGAACGCTCACCGGCACCCTCACTCCCTCCCACCTCTTCCCTGAGTGGCCTCGGTCAGGTCACTGCCCTCCCTCCCCATCCCCTGCCTCAGCTTCCCTCTCGTTAAGTGGGGGCATGACCCTCGTGTCCTTTCCAAAGGGGAGGGGGGACTCTGGGATACGGGGGTCCCTCAGCATCCAGGGAACGTGTGTTGAGTGGGCAACACCATGTGAGCATAGGAATTGGAGGAGTTAGGGGGTCCTGCTTGGGCCCCCACACCCGGTCCTGCCTCCCTGCCAGGCTCCCCAGCTTCCCAGCCCGGAGGCAGGGCGCCAGCTGCCGCCTGAGGAAGGGACTTGGGGTTTCGGACAAGCCGCCCTCCCTCTGGCTCCCGGTGACTGAGGGAAAGTCATCGCCATCGCCGGCCCGGCAGCCTGGGCCCTGACTCAACACTTGGCCGCCGTCCCCACGCCCGGAAACCCACCCCACCCTGTCCTCCCGGGGGCCCCAGAGGCCTCTGGGAGGAAAAGGCCTCTGGGGTGAGCGCTGACAATGCAGCGAGTGAAGCCAGCCCTCCGCCCTCTCCTCCGCCCTGGACTCCACGCGGCCTGCGTCTCCCTCCTGGACGGTGACCGGCTTCCTTCCCAGCCTCACAGCCCCTGTGGCCCCGGGGCTCCTCCTGCACCTGGCCATCCTGATCAAGGCCCTCCCAGGGCTCCCTAACACCCAGACTCAGGCCCCTCCACCCATCCCCAAGCCCCACAGGCTCTGCCCCGCCCCCGCTGCCTCCCCTCCCCTCCATCTGCCCCACTCGCTTAGTCACCCCAGACACACCGCCTCCCTTCTGCTCCTCGCGCTGGCCAAGCTCTCTCCCCCTCAGGCCCTCCGTGCAAGCTGCTCAGCCTGCGAGCTCGCTGTCGCCTTCCTCTTCACCTAGTTAACGATGTCAACCCCCAAATCCCCGGGTTAGGGGCACGCCCAGGGCTCTGTCTCTCCGGGGTGACTGTGGGGTCAGCATCTAGGGGCATGGGAAGGCCGGCGCCCCACGGCCCACGCTCAATCAACGTCTGCTGTTTAAGCACAGAAGCAGCCACCAGCTGGAGGCCACGCGCGGCTCCAGGCCAGGGGTCGGCAAACTGCGGCTCGCGAGCCACGGCCTGCAGCCCTGTTGAGGAATGAGTTTGCCAAGCACTGACCTAGACTCTCAATTCCAATCATTACAGGCTGCTGTTGTTCCCTGTGATTAAGCCCCTATCCCAGTGGTCGGCAAAATCATTCGTCCACAGAGGGGCAAGCCGTGGCTCGCGAGCCGCAGTTTGCCGACCACTGCTCTAGGCTCAGGCTCAGTGCTCAGTGCTCGGTGCTCAGTGCTCCGTGCTCCGTGCATGGGGAGGAGTAAGCCAGGCGATCCTCTCAGCAATGGAGCGTGTCATCACCCCCATTCCACAGATGCGGAAACCGAGGCCCAGGAAGGGAAAGCTGCTCGCCAGGAAGTGGCAGGACCAGCTCGTGGGCTCTGGCGCGATTTGGATGAAGCAGGAATGGAACCCACCCCGTTGTCCCTTCTACCTCCGCCGCTGGGCCCGCCCGCCCCTGCCTGGCCCAAGGCAGGCCCGGCGTCCGGGGCAGTTCTCGGTCCCGGCAGCAGGGGGCAGCAGAGAGCCTGGGTCTCACCGTCTCTCCTCCCAGTCCCGCCCTGAGACACGCTGTGGCCTCCTCTCTGTGAGGCCGGCCTCAGCTCGGGGACATCAGAAACTGAGGGCGCTGTGCCCCTCTTCCACGCGGAACCCCAGAAAGGGGCTCCACAAGCACCGACCAGGGCAGAGGGCCAGGGCTGGGTTCTGAACCCCGGCTCCCCACTCCCCTCTGTGCCTGGGTTTTCTCTCTCCTAAAGTGGGGGTGAGACTAGAACCCACCGGGTGGGATCCCAGCGGGGATTAACGGGCTGAGGTAGGGTCTCTGCCAGCGCTTGCTGTTATTATTATCAGCAGTGCAGCCGTTGTTGTTATTGCTGTGGGGCCCCAGGCCAGGTCCTGTCTGCTCAGGCTCACACCGCCCAGCTGTGCCGGGGGTACCCCTCTCCGGGTCTGGAGGGAGGGGGGCTGCGGAGCCTGGAGGTGCCAGGCAGGAGCCCAGCCCGGAGATGGGGAGAAAGTGGAAAGGACTCGGAGGAGATCCTTACAGAAGGGGAAACTGAGGCTCGGGAAGGCCCATCTAACGGACATGGCCTGGTCTGAACCGGTTGCAGGGTTTGGTGGGGTCGCAGTGACGAGCAGTGTTGCAGAGGGGAGGGAGGAGACTGAAGAGACGGGGGTGGGGGTGGTAGGGGCAAGGGGTGCAGACGTGGGGACAAGAATGTGGGGGGGACCGAGAGGCACGTTACCTGCGGGCCTGGCGTCGGGGGCCCGCGTGGAGGGCCCCGGGGTCTCCAGCGCAGGCGAGACGGAGAAGCGGGAGAAGCACAGGGGGGGCCCTGGCGGGGGGAGGAGGGGGAAATCCTCCGCCCATTCGAAACTGCCTCCTGGAGGAAAGGGGGTGCAGGGGTCAGCCGAGGCCGAGGGCGGGGTCAGACTCTCAGCCCCGCCCGGAGCCAGCCGCCTCGGCCCCGCCCCCGTCAAAGACCACGCCCCTTCCTAAGCCCACCCCTCAGAGGCCGCGCCCCTCCTTAGCCCCACCCCTCCAAGGCCCCGCCCCTCACCAAAGCCGCTGTCGTTGCTGGGAAACCCATCTCCGGGGGTGGCGGGGTGGGGAGGCGTCGGGGGCGCTGGCGGCGTGGACGGGTCCGAGTCCCCCTCGGGGGGCCCCTGGACGCTCAGCTCGTTGGTCGGCGTCTCCTGTGAAGACAGACGAGGGGAGGCGAGAGGGGGCTCACCGGCACGTCCCACCACCGAGCCCCAACAAGCAGCAAGCCCCGCTAACGTCTTCTCTCTGGGGACGGCTGCACCCCCTCATCTCTCTAATCTGCCTTCGAAGCCCCAGGACAGCCTTCACCGCACCCCCTCCCGAGGCCGGTCCCCCGACGGCGGGGCCCCGCCCACACACCCAGACAGCCCGCCGCCGCCGCCTCCCCGGGACCCGGAACCAATACTGTCTCCGTACACCCCGCCCCGTCTCCATGGCCCCTGCCTACCTCTGAGATCTCGACCGCCAAGTCCACATTCGGGCCCCGGGACTGCCTGCTGTTATGGTCCTCCAAACCCACCCTATCTAGCGCACCTCCTGGCCCACAGGGACCCCTGGGCCCCGCCCTCCGAAGGGGCCCGCCCCAGCTCAGGCCCCGGGGCCCTCTGCTCAGGACCTCAGCCCGGCGCCTCGGACCCAGTCCACAAGCACCACCACACCCTCCCTGTGTCTGCAGCGCTACCTGCCTCTAAGGACACAGCCCTCCTCCCACTTCTCTAGGCTCCGCCCAGCTCATTAGCTCCGCCCACCCCTGAACCCACTCTTCCATCTGAACCCTACAAGCCGCATCCCTTAAGTCCTACTCGCAGCCTCTCCAGGACTCGCCCCTAGCCGGTAAAATCCATCCGGAGCCAGCCTCTTAGCCCCTACGCCTGGGCTGGTGCGTAAACCCCGCCCCAAACGCACTAGGCTCCGCCCCCACGCCCCAGGCCCCTGCACCCCTCTCAACAGTTTCTCCCTTGTCTCTCTCCAGGCTCCGCCTTGACTACCAGATACAGATATTCCGCTCCAAATTCACCCTTTTGCAAAGCAAAGGCATTGTGCAAAAGGGTGGATTTGTAGTGGGAAACCTGTGTCCTTTCCAGATCCCCCCTCCAGGCCCCGCCCACTCTCCTGGCCCCGCCCCACGATCAGGCTCCGCCTTCGCACTCAACGCTTCATCTCATCCTCCAATCTCGCCCCAATCCCCTGCCAGGCAGTCCTCAGGCCCCGCCCCTTCCCCGCAGGCCCCGCCCCGGCACAATGCGCAGGCCCCGCCCCCGCCCCAGGCCCCGCCCCGGCACAGTGCGCAGGCCCCGCCCCCGCCGCGCACCTGGTCGAAGAGGTAGACGGTCACGTCCCCGTGGAAGGAGACCATCTTGCGCTTCCTCTCCAGCTCGCTGTCCTCGGACTCGTCGGCCCCGCGCGGCGACTTGAGCAGCCCCCGCAACGGGCGGGCCGCGTCCCCGTCGGAGTTGCTCACCACGACCGGCACCGGGGCTGCCCGGGACCTCCCGGGGCCCCGCGGCCCCGCCGCCACGCCCGCCGCCTCGTCCTCCTCCTCCTCCTCGTCCTCGTCCTCCCCGTCCTCCTCCGCCGGCCCCGGCGACCCCGCCCCGCCGGCCTCCCCGCCAGCCGCCCCGCCGTCCGCGGCCTCCCACGGGGCCCGCCGCGGGCCCGGCCCCGGGAACGGCGTAAGCGTGAGCGGCGGCAGCGCCAGCGAGAGCCGGGAGAGCTTGGCTGCGAGAGGAGAGACGGGGAGGCCCTCAGACGGGGGACCCCGAACACGCCTCCCGCCCGGCTGGGTGACCTCAGGCCCTCTCAGACCACAGCCTGGGCCTCAGCGTCCCTCCTTGTGAACCCAAGGGCTGCACTGGGGTCTCCCCCCACCCCTGACCCCAGTGCCAACTTCTCGCCACTCACCAGGCCCTGCCCACCTCCCCAAGCCCCGTCCCCACCTCCTTCCTCTTGACTGCCAGCCAGCCAGACCACCTCCCTCTCCCTCCCGCCTCTGAGCCTTTGTATGGGCTGCTCCTTTTTTTCTTTTTTTTAACTCAAGTCCTAGTCATCCTCCAGCTATACCAGGGCGTCCAAAGCCTTCAGAGCCCCTCCAGGCGGCCCTCAGGCCAGACCACCAGCTCTGCACCCACAGCACCAAGCACCCCTCCTTCCGGGAAGATCACCTCAGTGTACTAACTACATTTCAGAAGCAGGCGATGCGATTCGTGTTTGCCTTTCCGAGTCCAGCTCGTTCGGCTGCCTCCCCCAGCCCCAAGCACATAGAGGTGCCCAGCCAGGATTTGTGGGATGGATGGATAAATGAATCCCCTCGAGGTGAGGTTGACCAAGGCACTGTCCCGCTCTGGCCCTCCATCTCCAGACAAAACTGGAGGCAGTGTCAAACCCTCGCTAGGCCCTTTCCCTGCCTGGAGACGCCCTGATCTCTTCCTGTGGGGAGGGAGGGGCTCCAGGTGCAGGAGAAGGAAACCTGCCCTCAAACCCCAAACCTGCCCTCGAACCCCAAACCTGCCCTCAAACCCCAAACCTGCCCCCTGGCTGTGTGCCCCCGGGCAGGCAGATCCACCTCTCTGAGCCGCGGTTTCCCGCCTGGGAAATGCCAGGGGCTGCTCATTCGTTAGTGCACACATGAACGGTGTGCCCGGCCCTGCGGGGGGCGATGGTGGGGAGCCGAGGAAGATTGGGGGAGGGGGGCAGAAAGAAGGTGGCTGTGGACCAGGTCGCTCTCCTCCCTCGTTCGCTCTCCTCCAGCGTCACTGGCCTTTTGCTGTTCGTCCCTGATCTTGCCAACTCAGGGCCCATCTCAGTGCCCTACGCCTGAGGCCTCCCTGACTCGTTTTCTTCATGTCTGCTCAAAAGTCACCCTCCATGGCGGCTTTCCCTGACCACTCACCTCAGCGTGATAGGACCGGGGTTGGAGGGGGGGTGCTGTATAGAGAGAGCTATGGGTACCCAGAGGAAGGACAGGGTAACAGCCTTTAGAAACCAGGAAGTCTTCCCAGGGCAGGGGAAATTTGAATGGGGCCTTGACGGATGAGTAGGAGTTCACTGGTTTTTTGTTTTGTTTTGTTTTTTAAAGACAAAAGGCTATTTCTAGCCTTTTCTCACCCAGGAACATCAACCTTCAATCCCCTCCTCCCCCCAACCTCCATCTCAGAGGCATATTGGCTGCTCATCTCCTGACATGTTCGTGCTGCCCCGGTCTTCTGCCCACAACAGCCTCTAGGACAGTGGTTCTCCACCTTCCTAGGGACTAGCCACCTCCCCATTTCTCCCACCTCTGAGCACAGGCTGTTCCTTCTGCCTGGACCTTCCTTTTTTTTTTTTTTTTTTTTTTTAACTCAATTGATCTTTATTCTTTGTTTATCTTCTCCTCACTTGTCCCCTCGGTGACAGAACACTCCCTGTGCTCCTTTCCAAACTCCATTTCCAGAAAAAAAGGCATTTCTACAGCTGCCAGGTCACCGATGCTCTGGAGGCAGGGCCGGGCCTGAGACCCCCTGCGGCCGGGCCGTGGGCAGCTCAGGGCCTGGCAAGCTCAGCTTGTTGCCAAGCGGACAGCAGAGACCACCTGCGGGCAGCCCAGCCCTCGGATAAGCTTCCTTTGAACTGATTCAACCTTTGAAACGCCAAGAGCTCTGGTTTAAGAGGGGAAAGCAGCTAATTTGGCAACCCCCAGTGGGCATTGCTGAACAGAGCGAAGTGTCTGTCCTTCCTCTCAAACCCCTCCCTGTCCCCCCCACCTCTCCCCTCTGATCCCATTCAGTCCTCAATCCTGTCTGCCGCCCCCTGCCCTCTTCCCCCTCCCCCCCCCCTGCATCTGAATCTGAGCCCCCTGGTCTGTGAATCGCAGTCATAAAAGCACGTGCTTAAGGGTGTCAGGCATCGAAATTCTTAACTCGTACCACAATCCTAGTAGGTAGGTGCCATCCTGCCACCCACTTTTTGGCAGATGGGGAAACCGAGGCACAGAGAAGGAAGGTCCCTTGCCCAAGGTCACAGAGCTCGGGCCCTGAGCCCAGGTGGTCCCGCTCGTGTCTGTCTGCACTCGTCACCACCGGCCGGGCCTGTCTGTACCCCGAGCCTAAGACCCCGCTGTGCTCCCCCGGGGCCCCCCACCCGCCCCCGTGCCCCCAGCGGCCTCCTCACCTTTGATCTGCTCGCTGTTCCCCTGAGGGGGTCCCAAGTCCAAGAACAGCCGCGGCATCTCGGGGCCCTTCCTCTCGGGCTTGGGGGGGTCCCCGTCTGCGCTGGGTGCTGGGTCTCCTCCGGGCCTGCTGCCGGGCGCCCCGGCCTCGCCCTCGGGGGCCGCCTCCGGCCTGGCCTTCGGGGGCGCGGGCTCCGGCCTCCTCAGCGGGGCCTCCGTCGGGGGCGGCGGCAGCGGCAGCGGCGGCTGCGGCCTCGAGCTGTCGGCCCACCCTGCCTTTGCGTCCGCGCCGCTTCCGAGGCCGCCGCCGGGGGCCGTCCCCGTGCCCGCTGGGGCTCGGCCCCCACTCCCGAGGTCCGGCCTCCCAGCCCCGGGGGCTCTCGGCGCCCCCCCAGTCTCGGGGGCTCTCCTCTTGGTCCCCAGCTCCGACGCCGCGCTCCTGGGGGCCGGGCCAGGGGGGCCAGGGGCCGTCTCCCCGCCGCTCGGGGCCGAGGCCGCCGGGCCGGGCGGGGGGGCTCTCTCCGGCTGCGGCGTCTCGGGGGCCGGCTCCCCGATCGTGGGGGTCGTGGGGGCTGCCCCCCCACTCTCGGGCGTCTTCTCCCAGGGCCCCGGGGCTCTCCGAGGCCCAGTCTCCAGCGGCGGCCTCTCGGGGTTCCTGGGGGGCCTCGGGCCCCCATTCTCTGACACCGTCTCCTCCGTCTTTGGGGGTGTCGGCCCCCCATTCGCCAGCGCTGTCTCTCCCCTCTCCGGGGACCTCAGCTCCCCATTCTCCAGCGCCGTCTCCGCCGCCCTCCTTGGGGGCGTCAGCTCCCCATTCTCCAGCGCCGTCTCCTCGCTCCCCGGGAGCTCCGGGCCCCCGTTCTCGGCCACCTTCTCCTGGGTGCCGGGGGGTGTCTGCGCCCCGTTCTCCAGCACTGTCACCCCGTTCGCGGGGAGGCTCGGGTCCGCGCTGCTCGGGCTGGGGGCCGTCTTCCCGCTGCCCGGGGCTGCGGGGTCCCCGCTGGGGCCCGGGGCTCTCTCCGGGTTCCCGGGGCCTCTGCCCGCTCTCCGGGGCCCCGGGTCTCGGGGGGCCGCCCTCTGGCCCAGGAGGCTCCGCGTCACGTCCTCCCGCAGGGACAGCAGCAGCTGCTCGGTGCTCACTTGGACTACGAAGGTCGGCTTCTCCCGGGCCCCCGGCGGCGGGAGGGGACCCGGGTCTGGGGGCGGCCGGGGCGCTCCCGGGTCGGGGGGCTCGGGGGGAGCCCGCGGCCGAGGGACCCCTTCCTCCTCGGCCGCCCCCCCACCGGGGAAGGCTCCCTCGGGGGAAAAAGGGGTCTCGGTCTCGTAGCCGCTGTCCCCCGGCTTGGGGCCCGGGGACGACAGGCCTGAGCCGGGACTGGCCACGGCCGAAGGGGGGTCTGGGGACGCGGCGGGGTCCGCGGGGGCCCGGGGAGGCGGCGGCGGGGGGGGGGGAGCGGGGGGCGGCCCCCGCCCGGGGTACTGGGGCGCCGCGGCCCCCATGAGGGGGTCCAGGAACTCGGGGGGGGCCGAGGAGGGGGGGGCCAGGGGCAGGTCGGCCAGGGAGCCCCGCTCGGCCCTCAGGGACGAGTCGTCCTCGGGGGGGTGGGGACAGCCCAGCGCGGGGTGGCCCCCCCAGCCGGCCACCGCCTCGCCGCGCTCCAGCGGGAGGCAGGAGCAGGCGCCCTCCCGGCTGCACAGCGGGCAGGGCAGGTGGCTGCGGCGGCCCGGGCCCCCCAGGCTGCTGCTGTCCTCCCCCGGGGAGCTGCCCTCCTCCTCCTCCTCCTCCTCTTCCTCCTCCTCGGCCCACGCGGCCCCCCGCTCCCCCAGCACCTCGGCAGGGTCCCCCGCCAGGGTCTCCCCCGCGCCCCGGCCCTCGGGGTCCCAGCCGCTCAGGAGGAAGCCGCCGGCCGCGGCCTGGGCCGGGAAGGGCCGGGGCGCCGGGAAGAGGGGGGAGGCCCAGGTCTCGGACACCAGCTGGGGCACCTCGGAGGGCGGCTGGGGGGCCTGGGCGGCCGGCACGCCCGCGTCCAGGGGGTCCCAGTCGCTGGGGAAGAGGGGCTCGGGCGGGGAGCCGTGCTCCTCCAGGCGGATGTAGTACTCGCTGCCCACGGAGGGGCTGCGGGCGCTGATGACGGGCAGCACGCTGGGCGTGGACAGCGCCTCGTAGAAGGGGTTGGAGGGGTTGGCGTGGGCGGCGGGGGGCGCGGAGGCCGGCTGCCAGGCCGCGCCCCCGGCCCGGCCGGCGCCCCGCCGCGCCTTCTCCCACAGGCACTCCAGGTTGAGGCCGCGGCTGCTCTCGGTGACCGTCAGCACGTCGTCGGGGTCGGCGCCCGGGAAGCCGTCCAGCAGCGGGAACGGCGAGGACAGGGTGCCCGGGCGGGGCGCGCTGTGGGTGGCGGGCCAGGGCCAGGGGAACGGGCCGTCCCGGGGCGGGGGCGGGGGCGGCGGGGGCCGCGGGGGCCGCTCGGACAGCAGGTAGGTGAGCTGCAGCTGCAGGTCCGAGGCCGAGGGGCGCTGGGCGGGCGGCCGCCAGCAGGACTGCAGGATGTCGTACCTGCGGGAGGAGGGGCCGCGTGGGCAGAGCCGGGGGGCGGGGGGGGCACCAGGAGGGCAGAGACCCAGGGGAGGGGGCCAGACATCCAGGGGAGACAGACAGACACCCAGGGGGAGACAGACAGACACCCAGGGGAGACAGACAGACACCAGGGGGAGTGACAGCAGACACCAGGGGGACAGAGACAGACAGACACCCAGGGACCCCAGCGCGGGCGCTCCCGCTCCTGAGCGGGTGCTGGCAGGGGTGAGGCTGGGCGGGGCGTGCGGAGGGGGCCGGGACCATGGGGCGGGCCTCACCAGTAGTCCCCGTAGGGCAGCTTGAGCCGGGGCCGGGCCAGCTTGACGTGCTGCTGGCGGACCACGAAGGCCAGGACCTCCTCGTCGGACAGGTGGCGGTAGGGCTGCGCCCCAAACTCAAACAGCTCCCACAGCGTCACCCCCAGGGACCTGGGGGGGGGGGGGGGCGGGAGTCAGAGCCGCGCCCTGGCCGGCCTGGGGCCTGCCCCCGGGCCTCGGTTTCCCCCCGGGCGCCGGGGACGGCAGACCCACCAGATGTTGCTCTCGCGGCTCTGGTCCACCACCATGAAGGTGCCGTGCAGCTCGCCCAGCAGCTCGGGCGCCGCCCAGCGCAGCGGGATCCACAGGCGCTCGGGGGTCAGGTAGTAGTCCTCCTGGGGGCCGGCGGGGCAGGGGCGGGTCAGGCGGGCCGGGGCACCCGCCCCCGTGCCCTCGGCCCCCACGGAGGCAGGCAGCCACCTTGTAGTTGCTGTGGGCCAGCCCGTAGTCGCCGATGCGCACGGTGAGGTCAGAGGTCAGCAGGCAGTTGCGCAGGGCCAGGTCGCTGGGGCCGAGGGAGGGGAGGAGGCGGGTGAGGAAGGGGCAGCCTGGGCAGCTCACCCCCAGCCCAGATCCCGCCCGTTTCCCGGACTCTGCCCCTCCCCCTCCCCCCCAAAGACCCCAACCCGCCTCCAGCCCTGATTCCTCCTGGGCCCAAGCCCCTCCATCTCCTCTGGACCCCGCCCTCCCCTGGCCCCGCCCATCCATCGCCACTGGCCCCGCCCCATCTCTCTGGACTCCGCCCCTCTCCAGGCGCCGCCCCTCCTATGACCCCTCCCCTATCCTGGCCCCGCCCCTCCATCTCCTTTGGACTCCACCCTCTCCCGGCCCCGCCCCTCCATCTCACATGGCCACGCCCCTTTCATGACCCCGCCCTCCAACTCCCCTGGACTCCGCCCTCCACTGGCCCCGCCCATCCATCACCACTGGCCCCGCCCCCATCTCCTCTGGACCCCCGCCCCTCTTTAGGCCCCGCCCCATATGACCCCTCCCCTATCCCGGCCCCGCCCCTCCATCTCCTCTGGACCCCGCCCACTTATGGCCCCGCCCAATCCCAAGCCCCGCCCCTCCTGTGACCCCAGCTCCCCTCCTAACTCCTCCCTCTCCTCTCCCCTCCCCTCCGGTGGCCTCCCCCCCCTAAGGAGACCCCCCCTGCTCCCTGGGCCCCGGGGCACCTGTGCACGTAGTTGTGGGAGTGCAGGTGCGCCAGCCCCCGCGCGATCTCCAGGCCCATCCGCTGCAGCGTCCGCAGGTCGCGCGGGGGCAGCTCCGGGGACACGCCCTCGGGGGGCCGCTGGGCGCGGAGGTAGCGCTTCAAGTCCCCCTGGGAGGAAGGGCGGGGAGGCTCAGCACCCCCCCACACACACACACCACCACCACCAGCACCAGCAGCCACACATCCAGCTGATCCCGGCGGGGGGGGGGGGGTTGCCCGCACTCAGTGGGCAGCCCCCCAGCAGCGGGGGTGGGGGGAGATAACAAACAGAACGCCTCATTGCGGGCCGGGGCACCGCCTGCGGGCGGGGCCCTCCTGTTAGGGCTGGTCACACAGTGTCGTGGTGATGGTGACGATGTTAAAGCCAAGTCCTGGGACCCTAGGCGCCCCCAGCCCCGCCCCCCGCCCCCTGCAGAGCCTCACCAGCTGACAGAACTCCATGATCAGCAGGAAAGGCAGGGTCTCCACGCAGACGCCCAGGCACTGCAGGACGTTGGGGTGCTGCAGGCTCCTGGGGGGATGGGGGGGGGCTGGGTCAGGAAGCAGCCCTTCCCTCCGACCCAGCCCCAGCCCAGACCGGCCCAGCCCCCCCCAGCAAAACCAAACTGTTGCTTCAGCCTTTTCCAGCTCAGTTTCCTCACCTCAGGTCTCCCCATCCCCCCGATCCCCCCCAAACACAGACACCCTCCCCATTCCCTGTCAGGACCGCCCACTGTCCCCCAGTTCCTGGGCCAGACCCCCAGTATCTCCTGCTCCCACCTTCCTCCTCACTCTGGCCTCCTGCCCCCTGATGCGTCTCCATCCCCCGCTCAAGCCTTCTCCTCACCCTAGGCCCCTCCTCACTCCGTGCTCCCTGGCACCCCACCTGGCGGCCCTCCGGCTGGCCGTCCCGCCTTCCCCAGGGCACCCCTCGCCCCTGGCTCCTGTCCGCACACACAGGGGCCTGCTCAGGCTCCGGCCTTGTACGGATGGTCCCACGCCCTCCCTCTCGGAGTCCTCCTCCTCCCTCAGGCCTCGGCTGCAGCCCCATTTGCCCACGAAACGGCCCTGACCCCCAACACTGGGGGCGCCCCTCTTTTCTCTCGGCAGCCAGTTCCACGGAAACTGAGGGTTTGGGGTGTTGTCCAGACCAGAAGGTCGGTGTTCCATAAGAATGTGTGGGTGAGGGGTTTACCCCGCCACGTGGCCTGGGGCCCGGGGAGACGAAGCGCCCCAGGCCTGGAGCCCAGGGCCGGGCGCCAGGGGGTGCTCGGTGAGCTGTTTTCCCTCTGGTGCCCGGCGGGAGGCAGGAACCCAGGGCCCAGGGCCCGGCCATCCACGGCCCGTGTTCCAGCCTGCTCTGCTTCCACCACGGCCCCGTGTGTGCTGGGCTTGAAAGGCGGCTGGATGGAGCCCTAACTGGTTTGGCTCAGTGGATAGAGCATCGGCCTTCAGACAGAGGGGTCCCAGGTTTGATTCCAGCCAGGGCATGTACTTGGTTGTGGGCACATCCCTGGTGGGAGGCAACTGATTTAATGTTTCTAACTCTCTATCCCTCTCTCTTCCTCCCTGTAAAAAATCAATAAAAAATGTATATTTTTAAAATAGCTGCCGAGCGCCGGTGCTGGCGATGGGATGGCAGATGTGGAAGGAAGCTGGGCTCACGGCACACTGACTGATCGGAGCCCAGGCCGGCTGCTCCTGCTAGCAGATCCTCCTGACACCCCTACGGGGCAGGACGCTGTTCCCCAAGTGGGGCAGAGGAAATGGAGGCTCAGAGAGGCAAAGCGACTGGCCCAGGGCCACACAGCGGGGAGCGGTGGCTGCTGGGATTGGACCTCAGGTCTGGCTGGCTCGGTCTCCCAAGGGCCGATGGCACTTGTGCTCGGGGGACAATAAGGACCCCCAGACGCCGGCTCCAGCGGAGCGTTCTGTGAGAGTGAAAATTCTCTAGATCCGGCTGTCTCCGGGGCAGCCATGGCCCTGTGTGGCCGCTGGGCATGGCAATGTTTAACTTGATCTGGTTGAACGTAAATGAGATTCGCCCTGTGTGGCTAGCGTTGGCCAGCAGACACCGGCAGATGAAAACTGACAAACTGGCCGAAACCGGTTTGGCTCAGTGAATAGAGCATCGGCCTGCGGACTGAAAGGTCCCGGGTTCTATTCCGGTCAAGGGCATGTACCTTGGTTGCGGGCACATCCCCAGTGTGGGGCGTGCAGGAGGCAGCTCATCGATATTTCTCTCTCATCGATGTTTCTGACTCTCTGTCCCTCTCCCTTCCTCTCTGTAAAAAAAAATCAATAAAATATATTTAAAAAAAAAAAAAAGAAAGAAAATTGACAAACTGGATATATGTTATGAAGAAAACATGTGAGCTGATGTGTGAGGGGTCCCAGGGCTTGCCTCATGTGTGTGTGTGTGTGTGTACACGTGTGCACACAGGCCTTTCTGAGCTGAAACCCAGGAGGACGGGGTCCGAGCTGGGGGTGTCAGGAGTGATATCCCAGCGGGAACAGCAAAGGCGAGCCAGGGTCCGAGGCAGGAACAGGCGGCAGGTGGGAGGGTCAGGGAGGAGGGTGGCTGGGGCCAGGGGGCCCGTGGCGGGAAGGGCCCGGGTCAGGCTGTGCAGAGGAGGGGGACTAGTCCTGTGGGCAATAGGGAGCCACAAGGGTTTTAAAACAAGGGAGCGACTCAATCCAACGTCACGTTTGAACTGTCTCTACACATGGCCCTTCCACAACAGGGAATGCCTTGCGGCACAAGGCACTTCCCGGCGAGCGTTTATCCAGAAGCCCTCAGCGTGGCGGGAGACCAGCAGGGAGGGGACAGGGTCCTGCCTTCTCGGGCCTCCTCATCCGTGGGGGCGGGGGGGGGCGGGGCCTCTCAGAGGCCACTTCGGATGCCCGCTCCGGGCGCTGGGCTGTGACCCTGATTCCACACTTCCTCCCCCACAAAGCAGGGGCCTGGGGTGTGCCCAGTGCTCACTTCGGGGTAACCTCACCCCCCTGCCCCTGCCCTGCCCTCTACATGAGGACCCTCAGGCTTCCTGGACTCCCTTCCCAGATGAAGATACTGAGGTTCAGAGTGGAGAGAGCGGCCTCCAGCTCTGCTTCTGGGCCCTCCCTTTGCCCCCTGCACCCTGCCCCTCACACCCTGGCTCTGTACCGAGAGAGAACCCTCGGCTCTGCCGAAACCGGTGTGGCTCAGTGGAGAGAGCGTCGGCCTGCGGACTGAAAGGTCCCAGGTTCGATTCCGGTCAAGGGCATGTACCTTGGTTGCAGGCACATCCCCAGTAGGAGGTGTGCAGGAGGCAGCTGATCGATGCTTCTCTCTCATCGATGTTTCTAACCCTCTATCCCTCTCTCTTCCTCTCTCTCAAAAATCAATAAAATATATTTAAAGAAAAAAAAGAAAAAAGAACCCTCGGCTCAGAGTGGGGAGCTCTCTCTTCACTGCTTAGCACACAGCATGGAAGACGTAGATCCAAGACTCGAACCCCGGTTGGACCCCACACTCTACCCCTCCCACTTCCAAAGGTTGCCTCCAGGAGGCGCCCGCGCCCGGCGTACCTGTAGGGCTGAGCCTCCGAGATGAACTTGCGCTGCTCCAGCGGCCCCGCGCTGGCCCGCAGCTCCTTCACCACCACCTGGGCTGGGGTGTAGTCTGAGAAAATCTCCCCCAGGATCACCTGGTCCGGGGGGCCCGGGCGAGGGGTGTCAGAGTGTGTGGTTTCCCCCGCCACCCCCTCCCCTGGAGTCCCCTGCACCCACCACAGGCTCCCAACGCCCCCCTCTTTCCAGGCCCTCCCCTCCTATCCCGTGTCCCCCCGCCCCGTGCCCCCCACCAGGGTGAGAGACTCACAGGCCCCGAGTCCGATGGATGCAGGGACGGACGGATGGGAGGATGGACAGACGGACGCGTGGACAGCCAGGTGGCGAGGCGGAGTGATCAATGGAGTGAGGAGGGAGGCGCTGACGGACAGATGTGGGGGTGGGGAGGGGGGGTGGTGGGAGCGGGTGAGAGGTGGACAGAGGTGAGGGGGATGGGGGGGGCGATGGAGGGGGCAGGGGGAGGAGGCGGGGAGCAGATGAGACGTGGTAGGAGCAGGGGGGATGGACACAACACAGGAGTGCGACCCTGGCCGGTATGGACCGCCTGCCTCCCACCTCCAGCCCACTCACCTTCCCGAACCAGCCGCTCCCAATCTCTTGCAGGTAGCTGAGGTGCTGGCGGCTAAGGCCTATGGGGGTGGTCATGTCTAGGGGGTCAGAAGGGAAGGAGGCCCCTGAGACTCTCCCCCGTCCCAAGTGCCCATGACACCTCCCAACTCCCTGGAGGCTGGGGGTCAGAGCAGGCACCAATCCCTCTCCTCATTGGCTGCCCCCAACATCCCAATGACGGGACCTCAGCCCTGGCTGGTTTGGCTCAGTGGATAGAGCATCCACCTGCGGACTGAAGGGTCCCGAGTTCGGTTCTGGCCAAGGGCACATTGCCTGGGTTGCAGGCCCGATCCCAGTAGGGGGCGTGCAGGAAGCAGCCGATCCATGATTCTCTCTCATCGTTAATGTTTCTCTCTCTCTCTCTCCCTCTCCCTTCCTCTCTGAAATCAATAAAAAAATATATTTTTTAAACAAACAAAGATGGGACCTCAGCCTCGTCACTGGCTGCCCACAGGTTCCAGCATCCAACCCGTCCATCCCTCTGGCCTCCCAGGAGCCCCTGCCGTGCGTTCGGCCTGCCACTGGCGGCCTCCGAGATTGGAATCTGGGCCGCCCTCGCCGTGGATTGCCCCACCATCGGTTGCTTAATCCAAAACCCAAATCTGGTTTTGCCAAGTCTGGTTTTGGATTAAGCAATTGCTTGCACCCGGATGATCTCTGACCCCATCCAGGGTCAGGATCCCAGCCCCCCCCCCCCAACACCTTTCCCCCCAGCCGCCCCCCCCCAACACCTTTCCCCCTAGGCCGCCTCCAAGGGAAGTCTCTCAAGACCATGGGATCCTGGACGGGGCAGGGGCAGTACCTGAATGTGAAGGCTGCGGCGCAGGCATGGGCAGGGAGACCTCGGCCAGCGGGAGAATGTAGACATCAGGCAGCGACTGGGAGGAGGAGGTCTCCTCTGCTGGGGGAGTGTACTCCCCGGAGCAATCCTCCCCTTCGGGGTTCTCAAACTCCTGGAGCCGGGAGGGGCGAGGAGGGGAGGATGCAGGGCTGAGAGAGGCCTGTCTCCCCATCTTTCTCATCACTGTCCCCAGTCCCAGTCCAACGTCCATCCCAAGCCTCAGGATCTGGCCATAACGTCAGGGTCAAAGGTGCTGCCGGACCGACTGCTACTCTCCCGCGCCCACCCCCTGAGTTGGGGGGGAAAGGCCCTGCTGGAGTCTCCCTCCCCGCCTGGAACCCCCTCGTGCACCTCACCTTAAAGCCCACATCGCCCCGTTTGCAGCACAGACAGGTGAGGAGGAGGAAGATGAAGGCCAGCAGACCGGAGCAGGAAATGAGGACCACGGCGTAGGGAGGAGCCAGAGGGGCCCGGCCCAGGGCGAATCCATCTGTGGGCACAAGGGATGGGCTGCTGGGCTGGCGTCCCCACTTCAAGCCCCTGGTTCCCCCCGACTCCGTGCCCCTCCCATCCGGGCCGGCTTGACTACAACTCCCATGACGCACTGCAACCAGCGGCCTCTTGGCAAAGGAGCCGGATGGTGCAGAGCATTGTGGGAATGGTAGTTTGGAGCCCTTTTCAGGTGATTGGGGGTGGGGTCCCCCCTCTCCCTCCAAGCTGGGACACCACCACCACCACCCCATCCCCCATCACATCACCCCAGACTTGGAAGAATTCCAGTGAGGACTGAGGCAAGGAGAAGGAATTTTGGAGCCTGGAGCCCCCAGAATTTACAATCTGCTCAGGAGCCCCTGTTTGGGGGTGAGGATGAGCCCCCAGCTGCTGCCTGGGAGAAGATGCTTGCCCCATGCTGGTCCCCCTAGTTAGCAGAGGTGAGGCATGCCTCCTTTAGGGGCACCTGGAGCGCACCCATGTCCTCTGTCCCCAGCCCCGGCCCCTGAGAAGGGAGCCCGGCCAGCCCTGGGTCTCCCCAAAGCTGGAGACAGCCTCCCGTGCTGGCTCTGCCTTAGACACAGCCTTCCTCCCCGCGGCCCGGCTCTCCTGGAGGCCCTGGCTCCGTGGGCTCCCCGCACACACCTGCACGCACACATGCGTGTGCAAACACATGTTGCCCAAGCGGACCCCCTCCCCACCCAGCCCCGGCCTTCCTCCCACAGGCCCCGCGGACAGGCTCCGTCTGCGCTGCCCCGGGGCCCGGCGCGGCGGCCGGCAGACATGCACACAGGTGATGGGGTGACGGGGCCGGAGCCCCGCACAGACCCCCGTGGGCGGCCGGGGTGGGGGCGGGGGCCGCCGGATGGGCCGCCGGATGGATGGCCCGACAGACAGACTCACCGGGGTGGGCCGGGGACGCCAGGCAGCCGGAGGCGGAGACGGCCGCGAGGAAGAGGAAGGCTCCAGGGGCAGGCATCTTGTCGGTGGTGACGGGAGGGAAGTGGAGGTGGAGGTGGCGGCGGCGGCTGGGGAGGAGGGGGGGCGGGCCCTCAGCCCCCAGCCATGGGGACCCGCGCGACCCTGGCCTCCCCCCGCCCAGGAGAGGGGCGAGAGACGCAGGACAGGGGGAGGGAGGGGCTGCTGTCTGGCTCGGGTACCCCCCTCCCCCTCTCTGAAGGGACAGACAGATGAAGGGATGGAGAGGAGGACAGAGGAGAGGAGCTGGGGAGCCGGGGTTGCTGGGGTGGGGGGGAGAGGGTAGGATGGGAGGGGGGAGCACAAGGGCCCCGCCCCCGAGGCCGGCCAGGATTGGGGGAGCGGAGAGCCTGTCAGAGGAAGGGTGGGAGGAGGGAGGATGAAGGGAGGATGGAGCGTCGTCATGGCAACTGGCTCCCCAGTAGCATTGGCTGCGGGGAGGGAGGGGAGGGAGAGGGACGGACAGGGACCAGCAGACCCTTGGGGGGCGCGGGGCCCGCTGTGCCCGTCCGGGGACAGCTCCGTGGCATGTCACCAGCACGGACACGTGTGCTCCACGCCGAGACGCAGATGTCAGGCAGGCATACGCAGCCCACACATGGCTGACACACGTTGCAGAGACCCTCACAGACAAGCGCATCACATACAAAGGTGGACAGCCATCGGCAGACTGACGGGGACACGGACACATCACACACAAAGGCGCAGGGATAAGGGGCTGCGCTGGGGACACGGCGGGCTGGCCCTCCACACAGACGCACCCGGCCACGCAGGAACGGCCACGCACCACAAAGACCCACGCCACGCGTGCCACAGACGCAGCCGCGCTGGGAACACACGATGCGTGTGCCACAAACAAAGATCCACGCGGACACCACGGTGACATGCACACGTTCACAGACACGCACATCCCACAGACAAACGGGCAACAAAGAACACCCACAGGCACAGCGTCTCACACACACACACACACACACACACACACAAGCACCACTCTCAGAGACACATCAACACATGACATGCACCAACACAGACACGCATCCCATGCCCACATATACATGGATACACAGCAGATACATGGAGAGATAAGCAAATCACACTCACGAATACACACACAACACATAGACACAAGTACATAAAAGATACACATCTCTCACATAAGCCTACATCTCACTCACCCGAATACACACACACACACAAACATCACAAACACACCACATGCCCAAATATACATGATACACAGCAGATACATGGAGAGATAAGCAAATCACACTCACAAATACACACACAACACATAGACACAAGTACATAAAAGATACACATCTCTCACATAGACCTACATTTCACTCACCCAAATACACACACACACACAAACATCACAGACACACACACACACACAAAGACAGGCACAACCCACACACGGTTCAAAACACACACACACACACACACACATACACACATTCAAGAATCACAGACACACAAAGCTATACCAATCACGTACCAAAAAAACACACACAAACATATCACACACTGCTATCACTACATATACATACACAGATACATACAGAAGCACAGCACAGGCACAACATCGAATACACAGATGCACGTAGGTAGACACTTCACAAATACACACACATTTCACACCGAGGTTACAAAAGCCACATTACCCCGCCACACATCACACATGGGCACGTATAACACATACCACGGTGCAAACACACACACACACAGACGCACACAGATGAGATCACACAGCCAACACAGCCACAGACACTGCTCCCCTCACACAAAAGATACATGATCACGGTTTATTTCACATATTTATTCTTTGGAGCGTGTCCTCTGCGCCGGGCATTGTCCTCGGGGACCGTTATCGCCCCCATCGCACGGATGGGGAAACTGAGGCAGCCAGGAAAGGGCGGGCAGGATGGGGGCTGGAACCCGGCCCGTGGGGGACACACACGGCACAGACAAGAACGCACACGTCACGCGCCCGGCGCCGCCGCCTCGGGGGGCCACCGCGCGCCCCGCAGCGCCCGGGAGCACGGGCTCCCCGCCGCGCGCGGCTGTCCCGGGGGCCGGCGGGCACCTTCCCGGCGCGGCCGCACGACGCCCCGCGGAGGCGGCGGCGCAGACCCCGGCCCCCGGCGGCCCGCAGCCTCCCTCCCCGGCGGGTCCGGGGCGCGCAGCCCGGGCCGCGCCACGCGCTCGGCGCCGGCGGCTCTCACACCCGCAGTGCAGTGCGCAGCCCTCCGCATCGGGGACCCCGGGGGCGGGGCGGGGGCGGCGGGGGTCTCATTAGAGAAACTGAGGCAGGTTCGGTGCTCGGGAAGCCGGGGGAGAGGGGGGATGGACCGTGACGCACGCAGAGAGGATGGGATTAGGGGGGTGGGGGTAGCAAAATGTGCAATGTGATCTGACCCTTGGCTGAAGGGCAAAGAACCTGGCGGGAGCAGGGGCTTATGGGAAGTGTAGTCCCAGTCCTGGCTCTTGTGGGAAATGTAGTTTTATATATATATATATATATATATATATATATATATATATATATATATATATATATATATATATACCCTAGCTGGTTTGGCTCAGTGGATAGAGCCTCAGCCTGCGAACTGGAGAGTCCCAGGTTCGATTTCGGTCAAGGGCATGTACCTTGGTTGCGAGCACATTCCCAGTGGGAGGAGGTGGTGATGCAGGAGGCAGCAGATCGATGTTTCTAACTCTCTATCCCTCTCCCTTCCTGGCTGTAAAAAGTCAATAAAATATATTTTAAAAAGATAAGTGAAATGATAGACTTCTGCCCAATTTAAAACATACACACACACACACACACACACACACACACATATATATATATATTATATATATATATATATAATATATATATATAAATTTCAGAGAGGAAGGAAGAGAGGGAGAGAGAGATAGAAACATCAGTGATGAGAGGGGAGGATCCAAGATGGCTGCTCGGGTAGACATCTAGCCGCGGCAGCACACAACAATTTCAATGGAATACAACTAAAATGTAGAGTGGACATTGCCCAGAGCTACAGGTAGTCGACTGACTGAAATTTCTACAACAAGAAGGAAAGAGAAAACCAGAAAGAAAATCAGAGGAGCTGAAAAAAAGCCTAAGGTACGGAGACATGCTGCGCGCGCCTGCCCGCCCGCACTCGCGCACGGAGAGGTCGCAGCCGGGAGAGGAGGAGAGGGCGGGGAGCCGCCTTTCCTTCCCTAGCAGGAAGGAAATAAAACCCCCAGCCTGGGCTGAACCCCCGAACCGGCAGCGCTGAGCCCCCCCGAACCGGCAGCGCTGAGCCCCAGTTATGGGCCAGACCCTGGGGACCCAGGCTCCGGTGGGAGGAGACAGGGCCCTGAGGCGGAAAAACGGCGAAAGGCAGGGCCCCGGGAGTCGCGCGCAATGCGCGCAGAGGACTGAATGTTGACTCTGATGCTGGGTTGCCCTAGCCGGAAGAAACAAGGCCTCCGGCGGCGCTGAGCCTCAGTCCGGACTGCTCCGAACCCCAGTTCTGGGCCAATCCCTGGGGACCCAGGCTCAGGCAGAGGGAGACGGGGCTGTGAGGTGGAGTCCGGGAAGAGCGGCGAAAGGCCGGGCCCCCGGGACTCTCGCAAACTGCACGCAGAGGACAGTCTGGGGGACTCACGCAAACTGTGCGCAGAGGACAGTCTGTGGGACTTGCGCAAACTGCGCGCAGAGGACAGTCTGTTGACTCTGATGCTGGACTTCCCTAGCGGGAAGGAGAAAAAAAAAAAAGCTCTAGGCTGGGGGAACGCGGAGGGGAGCGGAAGCCCCTGCCGGACTCCAGCCAACCGGGCACCAGCAAGGAGGCGGGCCACGGGGCCCCTGGGGGCGTGAGTGCCCCTGAGCCTTTGACCACTGAGCTCGGGCAATGGAGCCAAGGCCGGGGGCTGCTTCCTGGGCGGCGCCGTCCCGGCAACAGGCTGAAGCAGCACAGGAGCCCGCGGAGAACAAAGGGGTGCCACAGGCCAACCTGCTGAGCTCCCAGGACAAGGAGGAAGAAACCAAAGAAGTTCTCAATTTGAAGAAATCAAGTGAGAGCAAACAATAGTAAAATTACTTAAGAAAGAATACAAAGAAGATCTTGAAAAATCAAAGACTAAGTCAGAACTCAACTCACCAGCCAACATTGCAACATAAATGCGTTTTAAAAAGAAAAAAAAAAGGACAGAATGTTGGAACAGCGACGGCCAGGCCTAGAGTGGCCAGGCACAAGGCAGTGGCAGCCAGACCTGGAGCAACAACGGCCAGGCCCCAGAACAACAGCAGCCAGAACCAGAGCATCAACAGCCAGCACTGGAGTAGCCAGACCTGGGGCAGTGGCAGCCAGGCATGAGGCGGAGGCGGCCAAGCCCAGGGTGGCCAGTCCAGGAACACCCAGACCCGGAGTGGCCGGGCCCGGAGAAGCCGGGCCCAGAGCAGCCGGGGTGGGAGCAGCCAGACCCAGAACAGCAGTAGCCAAGCCCAGAGCATCCAGGTCGGGAGTGGCCAGGCTCGGAGCAGCCAGGCCCGGGGCAGCCGGGCCCAGAGCAGCCGGGTCAGGTGCGGCCAGGCCCGGAGCAGCGGCTGCCAGGCTGGGAGCGGCCAGGCCCGGTGGAGCAGGCGGGTCGGGTGCGGCCAGGCCCGGAGCAGCGGCTGCCAGGCTGGGAGCAGCCAGGCCCGGGGGAGCAGGCGGGGCTGGTGCGGCCAGGCCCGGAGCAGCGGCTGCCAGGCTGGGAGCGGCCAGGCCCGGGGGAGCAGGCGGGTCGGGTGCGGCCAGGCCCGGAGCAGCGGCTGCCAGGCTGGGAGCGGCCAGGCCCGGTGGAGCAGGCGGGTCGGGTGCGGCCAGGCCCGGAGCAGCGGCTGCCAGGCTGGGAGCGGCCAGGCCCGGGGGAGCAGGCGGGGCTGGTGCGGCCAGGCCCGGAGCAGCGGCTGCCAGGCTGGGAGCGGCCAGGCCCGGGGGAGCAGGCGGGTCGGGT